TTCTTTGCGGCAAATTATTTTTTATAAATGTATAACCACTATTTTACTGTCAACTATATATTATGAATTATACATGGATTGCTTCATTTCGATTGGTGCGTTAACAGTAGTGTTTGTTAACTGTTTAGGCAACTCGGCTCCACGTTTAGTAGTTTACTGAATTAGTACTACGTAAGCTTGCTTAGTGAGATTGCAAGAAGCGAGGATCCACTTTGGGGAGCCATAAAGTAAGTCAAAAAACGGCTGAGACAACAACGAAAGGAGTATTTATTGAATCTTGGTGCTTTGACGTTCGAAGACGCAATAAAGCTGATCGAACTGCAGATAGCCTTGTACACAGAATCTAAATACTTTGAAAAGTTTCTTGATGCCGTCACCCGCTGTAACAGTCAAATGAAACACAGTACACTAGGGAAATGCAGTGTTGCGAAGCCTCATTTGCAACCTTCTTTGGGGCTTTCCTGTAATAACAGTGAAAAACTTAACTGCAGATTCGTGATTTACACCATCGATCTACCTAGTGAACAAGTTTTGGTCGAGAATGCAGCATCCTTTGTAACAATCAAAGACAGGATATTTGCTCAGCTGTCCTTCATTGTTCTGCCTGAGACCAAGCCTAGACTATGCTGAGGAGTTGCCAACTAGCAAGAAACAGCTGTCTATGGTTGGCCATCTGTGATCCGACGAACAAAAGCTGTAGGTATTCCTAGTTTTTTCCGAAACGGATAGTCTCGCAAAATTTTATTTGGAGGAGGGAAGCGACACCTGTAGGGTTTCCCAATAACCTCAGTGTAAAACTGAGATTCGGGATACGTATCCGATTTACCCAAAGAAACGGTTCTGGTCGAAACTACAGAGCTACTGAAATTCCTCCTCAATAGTATACATTTAGGGTTTAAAGGTTTCTCAAGGCAACGTTTCCATTTTCGACACCCATTTTTACAGTTGAATCAACCTTGAAGCATTGGGACGATTTGATACGCTGCACAGTGGTTCAGAAGAGGGCACCATTTCCGCGAAAATAGTAACCAAGTATAAATATTATATTTCTCTTTACTTTTTCTGCTAAAATATTAGTTTAACCCAAAATTACCTATTTGCAACATTTTCTTTTTTCTTACATTATTTCATCTCTCGTTTATTTACTTTCAAACCCAAAAAATATTTACATCATAAACTTTGTTAAAATTTAGGCGCCCTATGATGTAACTGTAATTACAGTAGGCTCTAACCTATTAAATTCAATATAGTTGACGATTGGAAAACAAGTGAATTTGAAAGGAATGTTGACAGTAGTTTTTCGCTGTCGTGGCATATTTTTTAATAAATCCGTGCAATTTTTTCAGAAGTTTGATAATAATGAGTTCCGATAAAAAAGTACAGGTATTTCCATGTTTTAAAAACAAGTTTAAAATGTACCTTTGAGACACCTCAACACATAAAGAAAAAACTAGCTGCAAATATTTGCACCTTTTGTAGACGAATTTTTAGAGTTTAGTGCACGACAGAAACCAACCAAAATGAAAAATATTCATTGCGCGGTATTTGACAGAACCAAAAACAGAGTTCAACTGTTAAAAACGCTTATGTTATATTTTTACAACACAAAAAAGACAAACATATGACGAATTTTATAAAAAATGTGGAAATTAGATGGAAACCCTGTCATAGAGATAAATTTTTTATAAAGAAAAATGAGGCTTGACTGAATCAAGAATTTCCGCCTTCCAAGATAAGCGTTGTTACTTCAGAGCAAGAATCGACAAGAACTTTTGGAAAACAAGACAAAACCCGGATACCAATTTTTGAAGTAATACGCAAACAAATGTTCATGATTAAAAAAACGGATTTTTATTTTTTAACTTTCCCACCCTGTATCTCGGAACGTATAAAAATCGGTTTACCGGTAACAAAATTAGAAATATTGATACTTTTTTCGCGGAAATGGTGCTCTCTGACCCACTATGCGTTGATTCAATAAGGCGATCAGAAACTACAAAGCGTCAGCAGTCCTTGATTGGAGTAGGAAGAACCTTTGGGGTCTTTTAAAATGTCAGCGGGTGCCTGATCTTCGCATCTAATTTACCCAAGAAATGGGACTTGTTAAATATTGGACATAAGCAAAAGTTTTTGAAATGTATCCTCAGAAGGATGGTTCCACCCACGCCCTGTGTAGATGCAAACAGCTGGATTACAAAGGAATGGCACTCTTTAGAAAACCTAGACTAGAGTCAAAATTGTTTTGTACTGAAGAGGCAGAGTACCAATTAGCACAGAAGTATGTTATTGTCAAGGGAAAAGGATGGTTTTCGGCAATATCAGCTGCAAAAAAAAGCTACAAACAAAGCTGGAGGAGTGTGTGTGTGGTGGTTCTCCGCAATTCCTTACAACGCTGAAGATTAAAATCCCATAAGAAAATCGACGGGGTAGCACACAAACCAAAACAACTAAACGCAAGGTACAATATGAAGGGGTACTACTCCATAAACTGGTGTTCGGGCACCTATTTTAATATCCCAGAATCTGGAAGTTAAACAAATGGCGCTCACACCACAATCTCAGGAGGAAAATGACTGACACGAAACACCTAACTTTAGGAAGGTTCGATGAGTGGCCTTGAAGAAGATATGTTCGTTAGGGAACCGAATAACGGAGAAAAACCACGGTTTTTTTTTTCAACACAATACTGAATCACTGAGAAAGAAAGATATAATACGTGTGAAATCATACAATCAATAAACTATGAAATTTACCAAAAGAAAATCATTGAAAGGTGCAACAGGTCCTGAGGCTCTCAGTGCTATCGGAAAGGCACCCCCATTAAGAAAAAAGGTTCTTCAGGAGCCAGAGTATGTTCCATAAGACAAGACATTAAAAATGTTTTCTATAGTAAAATAAATTTATAGCGTGAGATAACAAAAATTCGTAACACAGATATACGCATACTGCTATTGTTGTAATAAGAGCGTAAAGTACTGTTTTGCTGTTGGAGAAACGCGTTTAGGTACAAAGATTGGATTGGTGCTATTAGCGGTAAATCATAATATGAGTAAACATAGTCGATTCTTATTATTAAAACTGTTACAAAATTTATATTTATTTTATACCTGATTGCATAATAATTAATCAACAATGATTTATGTTATAGATGTGTTATCGAAACAGTACGAAGAAACATACGCACTCGTGGTGGCTTCCTCGTTTTCTAAAATTTAATTGCAGAAACAATATGGTGTAACAGACTATTAACATGGGTAATTACACATCACACACCGGTTTCTGTGCGTGTGTTTTTCATAGCATGAGGTCCGTAATTTGCAGTCCGTGGCCGTATTATTTGTTTCGATTTTAGCGGATTCAGTATGATTTCTATAAGGATGTTACAATGCCTTACATATCGAGAAAATCAAGAAAGTGTAACAAGTATTCCTTGTCAAATGAATTACTACGGTATCATTCGTATATGATAAGGTAGCTAGAGCCCGCCTTCTCTATTTCCGCATGCTTCACGCCAGGTATGTGAGAAGTTGGGTTTGCAAAGTATGGGGACTTCGTCCATCTTCGATGATCCAGTTTATTGTTTAAAATGTTTAAGATGGTATAACTTTATAAGCGATTTTACAAAGCGATGATAGACCTCTTTATGATCGGATGAGGATGCGAGGAACTGGCGAAATATTTTATTTGAATTCATCTCCAATCTTGTAATGAAGTATATTGTTACTGTATAGTAACCAATTTGGGCGTTATTTATATTGGTAGAGAAGCGAGCCCACGTAATATTAATTTAAGCTAAAAATATTTATGTACTTTCGTTTCACATGGATTAAATTGGCCGTTTTTGACAAAAACACCCTTGCCTTAACACTGTTCTACGAATTTTGATTCTGGATCTATTCTACTAGATCTGCCACTTTAGGAACTTAAAGTAAAAAGTACTAAATTTACATTCATTGGATAAAATTTTAGGGTCTTCTCGTCTCATTTCAGGTAAATCAAAACAGGGTGTAAAAAACTAGCAATATTGCGTTATTAGCTAGTTAGTCGGTTGCTAGCGATCAAAATGCTTATCGCTTCCAACGGATTCTGTGAGGCGCCAACTCATTATTAAGCTTTGATGATATAATCACTTTCAAAACCTATTTAAGAAAAAACAGTTTTTAGTAGCGAATTTTAGGGTGACCTCTAGAACACCTTTTGTAGAAACCTGTGGCGTTACTTTCTGTCTTCTATACACATCCACGGGATTGCTGTAATTCTTGAGCACCCTGTCACATTTCAATCAGCCACGTGCACAGGAGGCTTCTCAAGTCCTTAGCAAAGCTTACTGATGAAGATATGTATATGTCGATTATATGCCCGTATTAGTTGTGTGAGTTGTGACCGACTTTCGGCCAAGCGCTGTGTCGTTGGTATGGTCTTTTGGTTTCCAGATGCCGCTCCCCACAGCTGGGTTCACTGACTCTGAATATATGCAGAGAAAACATTCATTACAATCGTTTCTTGCAGCACTTGCTGAAAGAACTCAATTTACTTTCGATGCCAGTGACAATTTATTGAGTATTTTGTAATTAGCAACTTTCATACGACGACTTCAGTTTCATTTACCTACGTGTATGTGTTTTGCGTATGTTTAGAATTGGATTTTAAGTCTGATAATTTGAATAATCAAGTCATGTTGTCATTGAAGAAATATGGTTTTCAAAAAACATACTTAGATGTAGGGTAGTCTCGTAATTGGACAGTTGAATCAGTTATTTGTGAAACCCCACATGTCCAAAAATAACAATCGCGAGAAATGTTGAAAAAATACCTTAAATTATCATGATAACAAGTAAAAAAATATGAAGTTTGATTGTTTGTACGAGAGTTTTTTGAAAAAATGACAAAAAAACTTTTATGTATCTTGAGGGAAAGAATGAAATAAACACGCAACTTTTTTGAGAAAAAGTTTATTGGACACATTAGCACGAGGTACATTAAAAAAATAGAAGACTCGGTCAATTTTCATCCACATCGTCATCGGTGCCACCAACAGTTGACCATCCAAATATCTCCCTATAGAAGTTTTCTATTTCTTCACCTTTTTCTACGATGAATTTTTCGAACTTCCTGATGCTTAACATCTTTTTTGCACTAATTGGGACTTTTGAGTTAGGGTATGCGACCACTTCGGGAAAAGTTCTAACATCAGTAGATGTTCCCAACCTAAATTCGTGCTTTATTAGGCCATCAATGAAGTCACGAACAGTCACAATGCCCTTTTCATCATTGCTGTAGCTGAAGTGCATGAAATTTGAAATCGAAAATGAAATTTTATCTTCTTTTCTAACACCCCTTCCATAAGATTCTGCGGACAAAGAATTTTTTTGTAGTAAAGGGGCCACAATTTCTTATAGTCTCTCCATCCATTACGTATACTGAAAATTTATTTTTAGTGCTTGAATTGAGAATCAAGGAAACATAATCTTTTAGCAGATAAATTCGGTCATTTTTCTTAATTTTTCTCTTCACCATGGCAAAATCCCTGTCACATGGCATGTACGAATGGCCTCTTACTGGGAAGTATTGGTTCACAGTCTTGAATCGTCCAAGGTCTGTAAGACCTAAGCACATTCTAAGAACTGAATGGTTTTTATTCTGACCACCGCATCCGTCAGAAAAAATATGGAAATGTTCAATGTTTGCTGGAACTTCATTGTTTATAAAGTGCATAATGAAGGAGCACACCTCGTTTGGTCCTTTTTTGCCCATACCTTCGTGACATACATAAAACATAGTTTTTCCAGATTTTAGGTCGTGGATATTGAAGACATTGACAGTTAGTTGATGAAGGTAAAATGTGTTTTGGACCGGAATAGCAGGAAGTGCAAGATTTTGCATGTAGTCCACGCAAATTGCTCCTACACTGGGATCTGTTTAATAATAATAATAATAATAATCGTCTTTATTTAAACTGTACTTCATACAGAAACATTGGCATAACTCTTCAATCGAGTTCATCTTGCTGTAGAATTTTTTGGCTCTTTTTTGGTGAACTATTTTTTCCGCCACAACTACACGTTTAGCAACATCGTTCAAGGTCTTAGATTTAATTTTGTTGGAAAACTCCTCACAGGTGCAGCAGGTGTCGACCTGTGGTCTACCGAAAGACAAGCTGAAACGTTCCTTGAATATCTTGCAGTAAAAGCTATACTTTACAGATGATTCGGGATTGTTTATTAGAAACAATTCATGCATTTTTTTATATCCAGCGTCTCACTAAGGTAGTGATAGTCACGGCTACCATAATATGACCTTTTAACTGGAAATGAACGAATATGCTCCTCTACTTGCCTGACCACCTGTCCAGGTTTTGCATTCCCGGGTTTTTTTTTTGCCTCTTCTATCATTAGGTGGCTTTCCCATTGATAATAACTTACTCAAGCGACGAACACGGTCTACAATGACTCCATGGGTACTAATAAAAGTTTTTTTGCTTACACGGTGCTTTCCCGAACTGGAAGACACATAGTATTTGTATGATTTGCTTTTTGGCTTTGCATTATTTTGGTCTACTCTAGGTCGTTTCCTGGAAATCTCTGAGCACTCTATTAGAACCTGCATATATGCATCTTGTTCATTTTTCGTCTCTAGAGCATAAAATCTATCAGAAATCTCTTGCCGCTCACCTTCGGGAATTTTATCAAAACAGCATGACCTACACCTAAAAGTGGAAAATGATGATTGACCGACAAAACCAAAATGACTCGTATTTCTCTTACCGGCATGGTTCACCTATTGTCCGCTGATTTACTTTTATGCCTTTGTAATTCAGATATTCTTTACCTCTCAGTCGTGCACCTTTAATTACTTCATTTTTTATAAATAACTTGTTTCTGTCCCTTTTTGCGTTTTTTGGGAATAACTTCCGCGGAAAGGTCATCCTCGCACGAATACGCTCTGAAAATGAGCTAACGGTAAATACCCGCAACGTATGCGTATGTCATTTGTCGCGTAGAAGATAGGAGCCGTTTATTAGAGAATCACCACGTGTCCTGGACTTGTGGGGTTTCTCAAATAAATCTATATTTTGAACTAGCGCTTACAGCGTTATATCAGTTGGACATATGCGATTTCTCTCCAAAACGTGCATCTATATGAGAATATACCATTGAGTTCAAAAAGTCAAAATGTTGAATTTATGGACATGAGGGGTTTCTCAAATAAGCGATTCAGTTGATATCAGAAACATGGACGCAATCGAGGGGAGGGGTGCCTTGGGGCTCAAGTTCTCCCTAGAGCACCGCATACTTATACGTTTTTCCTTATATGTAACAGTAATACTATCTTCCTTAATAAATCAATAAATATATACCTACATACCTTGAAACGTAAAATATATTTGAATACTGTCAAGAAAAAATGGTGGAATTACAATCGTATTGGATTATTTTGTCTGAAATATATATATATATATATATATATGTATATATATATGTGTGTATATATATATACAGGGTGTCCCAGAAGTCGACATCAAGCCGAAACCGGGTAATAGGCAAAGTCATAACAGCTATCAGAAAAATATTTAAAAAAATTTTATGTATTTGTTTTGAAAATTATAGGTCTTTGAAAAAGATATAGAAATTTCACACCCTACGGCAGTCTGTCAACTCCTGTTACTACAAATATTAACTTTTTTTGGATTTTATTTTTACAATGTAATGACGAATAATGCATCTTCAAACTGGTGTCTCAACCTTACTGAAAACTTTTCTCGTTCAGGAAAAATTGCCAGTTATTTCCCAACCAAGTATTCCAAAGTAAAACTTTGCTCAACTTTAACTGGCTGTACTGGAAAAAAATGTACTACGAGAGTTTGGCAAGTAACCTTAAAAGTTGGCGCATTTAATAAGGATTCCAAAATGGTATAACACTTAGAAGATTACTCGTTAACTTATGCACAATTTTTATTTGAAGAAAAACTGATGAAAATTTTTCAAAATTTCCTAATTAAACAGCGATTATGAAAACGCACTGAGGATAACTGTTTGCGCAACAGTGGGCGTCAAAGTGCTGCTGCTGATGATTTACCTTTACAGCAAATGCACAAACTGTTTTCCTTCAGGCGCAATACACGCTCGACATCTTCTTAAAAAAGATCGGGTTATTAAACGAGCGAATCCACGGTTATTAACAAACTCACCTGCTTCCAATAGTCTTTGCCGTAGCTCAGCTACATTTTGAATCGGCTTGAAATACACTTTTTCTTTTACAGTGCCCCAGTTAAAAAAATCTAACGGATTCAAATCTGGTGATCGGGCTGGCCACGGCATTATACCAGACCGCCCTATCCATCTGCCTGGAAAGTTTTAATCGAGATACTCTCTCACTGAGAGTGCATACTGCACTGGGCAGCCATCATGCTGAAACCACATGTCCCTGTAAATACTCAGTGGCACGTCCTCCAATAAATTTTCTAAATGATTTTGCAAAAAACCTAAATAAACCTCAGCAGTCAAAGTCTCTGGGAACTCAAACGGACCGATTATTTTACCATTTAAAATTCCTGTCCAATGGTTTATCTTGAAGCGATATTGAGATTTATCTTCTCTCATCAAATGTGGGTTTACTACGTGCCACTCGTGTAAGTTATGCAAGTTCATGTACCCATCTTTCTTAAATGTGGTCTCATCTGACCATAAATTTTTTTCAAAGAACCGTGGATCTTCCCTGTGTCTTTCTAACATTGTGCGACAAAAAGCATCTCGGGGCTCATAATCCCGGGGCAGAAGAGCTTGAACACGCTGTACGTGGTATGGATGGACCACGTTTTTTTGCAAGATTCTATGGGCTGTACTTTTGGGCACACCTTTTTTTAGTCCTATTGCACGCACTGAAGTACTCGGGTCTTCTTCGACAGCTCCTAGCACCACGTCTTCGTAAGGAAGGAAAGATCTTCCCTCACCGTGTGATTGGTTTGGTAGTTGGCCCTCTGAGAACAGTAAGCGGTGCACATTTGTGAACACTCGATGATCTGGATGACGAGCTGCATTCGGGTACCTCTCACAGTAAAGTATCGCTGCAGCACTAGCGTTGCATCTGCATTCCCCATAAATGAGGTGCATGTTAGCATATTCTTGTACGGTGTACACGGACATAGCGGCACTGCACAATCACACTATCAAAGATAGTCTAAGGAAAGCAAATGTTGTTTTGAAGAGCTATTAAACAGTCCAAATCCAAATCACAAGCGATCAACAGTCCAGTTCACGAATCCAAAATTAGTAACAGTACGAAATCAACAAGCACGAACATGTAAAGATGCGCAGTAAACGAAGGAGTACTGATCGGTATCAAAGTGTGCAATAGCAAGTAAGTGATGTGCTTCATCCATACCACATACAGCGTGTTCAACCTTTTCTGCCCCGGGATTATGAGCCCCGAGTTGCTTTTTGTCGCACAATGTTAGAAAGACACAGGAAAGATCCACAGTTCTTTGAAAAAATTTTATGGTCGGATGAGACCACATTTAAGAAAGATGGGTACATGAACCTGCATAACTTACACGAGTGGCATGTAGCAAACCCATATTTGATGAGAGAAGATAAATCTCAATATCGTTTCTAGATAAACCATTGGACAGGAATTTTAAATGGTAAAATACTCGGTCCGTTTGAGTTCCCAGAGACTTTGACTGCTGAAGTTTATTTAGATTTTTTGAAAAATCATGTACAAAATTTATTGGTGGACGTGCCACTGAGTATTTACAGGGACATGTGGTTTCAGCATGATGGCTGCCCAGCGCACTATGCACTCTCAGTGAGAGAGTATCTCGATCTAAACTTTCCAGGCAGATGGATAAGGCGGTCTGGTACAATACCGTGGCCAGCCCGATAACCTGATTTGAATCCTTTAGATTTTTTTACTGGGGAACTGTAAAAGAAAAAGTGTATTTCAAGTAGATTCAAAATGTAGCTGAGCTACGGCAAAGACTATTGGAAGCAGCTGAGTTTGTTAATAACCGTGGATTCGCTCGTTTAATAACCCGATCTTTTTTAAGAAGATGTCGAGCGTGTATTGCGGCTGAAGGAAAACAGTTTGAGCATTTGCTGTAAAGGTAAATCATCATCAGCAGCATTTTGACGCCCACTGTTGTGCAAACAGTTATCCTTAAGGGTCCTTGTCCTTAGGAAATTTTGAAAAATTTTCATCAGTTTTGTTTCAAATAAAAATTGTGCATAAGTTAACGAGTAATCTTCTAAGTGTTATACCATTTTGGAATCGCTATTAAATGCGCCAACTTTTAAGGCTACTTGCCAAACTCTCGTAGTATATTTTTTTCCAGTACAGCCAGTTAAAGTTGAGCAAAGTTTTACTTTGAAATACTTGGTTGGGAAATAAGTGGCAATTTTTCCTGTACGAGAAAAGTTGGCAGTAAGGTTGAGACACCAGTTTGAAGATGCATTATTCATCATTACATTGTGAAAATAAAATCCAAAAAAAGTTAATATTTGTAGTAACAGGAGTTGAAAGACTGCCGTAGGGTGTGAAATTTCTATATCTTTTTTTAAATATTTTTCTGATAGCTGTTATGAGTTTGCCTATGACCCGGTTTCGGCTTGACGTCGACTTCTGGGACACCCTGTATATATAACTGATTGATTTAAATTGCGCGTCATTTTTGATACACGCATTTCAGTAGGTGGCGCTGTAGTAGTTGTTTAAAGCACATGTGTCCAATCCATCATGGAGCGCCTCACGATCCTACAACGCGTCCGTATTGTTAAAATGTTTTATTTGAATAATGAGTCGACGATTCGGAAGCTACGACAAGATTTCGTTCGAAATAATGTGCCCAGCGCCAACACTAGTCGTCAGTCGGTGCGGAAATTTGAACAAACGAACTGTTTATAAAAAAATTGGGTTATGTCAACAAACCAAATTCTGTAGTGCAGTACAATATTACGGAAGCGATTGAAAATATTCCTCCCGAAACCTACCAAAAAGTGATGGGAAATGTAATCAAGAGGGCTCGGGTTTGCGCGGCTTCTACAGGGGGACATTTGTCTGATATTATTTTAAAAGCGACTTTAAAAGTAAAATAAAATCTGACAACGCCGCAATGCCAGACGCAAACTACGACGGAACGCAGTGTAAATAAAGATGGAGTTTTTTATTTTTGCCTCTTAGGTATTATTTCATTATTTGATAATCTACTGGTAACATGCAAACAATTAAAAAAAAAACGGACTTACCACTAACTGTCGCAGCACTTCGCCTGGTGTGTAAAAGTTTATTGAACGTATTAAAAAAATCCACTTACAAATTAGGAATACAATTTTGATACATACATTGTTTTTCTTTTTAAAACCCACGCTGCACTTTTTTTGTATTCAAAGGTGTTCAAAATGTCGTCCTCCACTTTCCACACAAGCTTCATTACGACGAACCCAGTTTCTTCTTACTCTATGTCCTCGAAGTTGTCCATTTATTATTTCAGCCGCATTAAATTTTTTTTCGCGAACTTGTGCTTCAGTTGTTATTGGACCAGCCCCATAAACCATCCCTTTAAGTTCTCCCCAATACCAGAAATCCATCGGATTGAGGTCAGGAGGTCTTGCTGTCCATTTTCGAGGATCAGGAGCATTTCGACCGATCCAGCGATTTGGATAATTTTCATTCGAATACTGAATGACGCCCCTAACAATGTGTGGTGATGCCCCGTCATGAAGAAACCACAAATTCTGTCTCCGTTGTAATGGCATGTTGTCTAAGGTCTGTTCCAAAAGTTCTGGTAGGTTATTGGCTAGAAAGCTGAGGTATCCTTCTCCTGACAACTCTGGGAGTAACTCGAAAGGGCCAATTACCTGATCGTCAAGAATACCCGCCCAAATATTTATTTTAAAACGTTGTTGGGAATAACCTTCACGCATGATGTGAGGATTTTCTTGGGTCCACGTGTCAGTATTATGGAAATTTAATATCCCGTCTCGCGTGAAAGTGCATTCGTCCGTCGCTAGAATGTTTTTAAAAAAATCCGGATTTTCAATGTTTTTGTACAAAAACCACTGACAGACTGTTAGTCTGCGAGGATAGTCTTCTGGTAATAATGCCTGCACTCGGTGTACATGTTAGGGATAAAGCAAATTTTTCTGTAGGATTCTATGGACTATGGTATGCGATAGTCCTACGCGGCGGCCTAATTCCCGAGTGCTGATATTTGCATTGATTTCCACGATATTTAAAATTTGTTCCTCCTACTCTACTGTAACCTGTCTTTCACTAGTGCGAATATTAGTGGGCTGAACACTCTTCCTGTATCTCGAAGTTTTTGGTACACTTGCACAAATATCCTTCTGTCTGGGTATACCCGTTGGCGAAATCTGTGGCGATAAATTTGAATTCTGACGAGCTTCACCGTAAACTAACAACATGTCGGCGAACTCTTGATTCGAGATCATTGTAAATAAACACGAGGACGTACGCGAACAAAAACAAAATAGCCTACTAACCGCTATTACCATTTTCGATCGATTGCCGGTGCGATAAGTGTAATGAAAGACCGACGCGCTGTTGTCATGTGTGTTTTAAATATTTAATTTAATAAAAGTTACTTACTTACTGACTACCTACAAATTTTGGCTTAACTTAGAAAAACTTAATGCCATTTATTTGTTAATTACCCAATTTAAAAACGTTTTAGATTAGATTATAAAAATTAATAAGATTGTGGTAATTGTGGTCGATATAAAGCACTTACAGTTGTAAACTATAAGGCCATTTAGACCAAAATCTATTGACTGTTGGACCATGGGTCATATGAACTTTTTGACTTGTTTTGACCTACCCTATTACCCATTTCAAATTATTGACTACCATAACCTTTACGATTTTTTAGGCACGTTTTTGTATTCGGGTTGCCATTACAGGCAAAAGATCAAACATATAATTTTTTTACGACATCATTATACGTTTTGTGATACTCCAGGATGTCCTCATGCCGGAACTTTGGAAGATAAAATGAGCAAAAAATGGTTAGCTTTAAATCAATTACTCAATTGATTTATTGTAAATAATGAGAACAACGAGTATTTTAGAAAAAAAAGGAGTAAATATGTATAGCTGAAAAAATAATACGTACCTAAATGTGAAGAAAATGAGCCATCTCCAAAACTCTTTTTTTGGAAACGCCAGTGAACAGAGAGCATTGCTTCTGAGCAAAAAGAAATTGCAAAAGGTGACTGGCAACATTCATAGTGGAGAACGTACTATATCTTTGATTATATCAGCGTCTACCATCTATTACCTTGTTCATACAGTTTTTCCCTTGCTCATCGAAACAAGAATGTCCGTTTTAGAGATTATGCTGGCTGTATATGTACCAGCAGCTTGAAATATTGGATATACATGTACTCCGTTTTAATAGTAAATATGCACTTCACACAAGCATGATAATTTCCACAATAGTGCTTACAAGATTCAACGGAACGTCTACGCGCCTCCTCATCTTGAAGTGACGTACACACCTTGCAAAAGATAAAAATAACTGCATCCAGGTGTTTACGATGTAGTAGCATGTGCCCAAGGCCAGATTTGACGGAATGATAATTAATTACATAAATATTCAAATTAGCATGCTGCACTGGTTTGTCTTGTTACTTCATGTGAGGTGAGGAATTTACATGCAATTTTATTATAGGCGTTTACTACTTATGTCACAATAAATACATTTTTTCTGTTATACTTTGCGAAAGGCTGCTGAGGTAGCCAGTAAACTAATTTTGTTCTTATCTGGCTTTATTTTGCGATTAGAACATGGACATGACACAACAAATCCTGCCCAAAAATTCAGTAACTATAAAAATATTCTAGTCACTTCAGAGGTGTCACCAATTTCATTTTTACAGTAACTGAGTGAGTGGAGGTCGACATACCAGCACCAGATAAGAAAATTCAGTAACAGAAAGCCCACAGTTCACTTCTATACAGGGATGTACAAGATCTCTATACAAAGTATGTGGAATACAAAACTTTTACTTATACAAAATATTTTCTGGAATGGTATCTGAAATACTTCTTTTAAGCAAACAACATTTTATTGAGCACAAGATTATTTTATTTCATAAATTATTCACGGATAGATCACGTTGATCGCGCAAATATGGCAAAATATTATGCTTTTGAGGTTTCAATTGCGACTTAAGTAAAATCAGTCCTTCAAACGTTTTATCATTCATTTTTCTTATATGAGGCCTCATAATTATACTCTCAAAAGAGAAAGTCGGTCGCAGAACAGGTGTTTTGTTTGAAAAATGATGGTTATATTGTAGGGTAAAGACATAAACAGATTTATCTTTTGACTCTTTTTATGTCCCCTATATTATTATCTAAAGCCTCCGATTTTTGTTTTTCTAATCAATCAATTTTTTGTGTTTTGGTGACGATGAGTACGTACGAAGTGTTAAGGTACCAAGCGAAAAGCACCTAAATACAAGATACAAAATGAATTATAAAAACCATTTTCAATACAAGATGAAAATACGTATTTCTCCCTTAAGATGGTATAATTTATTTTTATCAAAACTCAGGTGAACTACTAATGTATGTTTCATATACGAACTAGAAGAGTATACTGAATAACCTCAAGAGTTTTCTCACACCAACAACAATTGCTAGATTATTTAGGGTGCTCCAAAATAGCAGGGCAGGCACAAAAAACACCGTTAAAAATATTATAGGGGGCTCCCTTACGGAGATACGGGCCCTGAAGGATAGATATTACCAGAAATCGGTTTTCATCTTATTAATTTTGAACCCAGAATAACACTTACGATGTTATTCTGGGTCTCCCTTTATATGATAAGACCTCTTGTAGCAGTATTATAGAATCAAATCAACTTATCTGTGTTATTACCTTGATTTGCCGTAGAGTGATATTTTTTCACCTACCGACTTCTAAAATCGTTAAGAGCTACGTGCTGCCACAAGAATGTAACCTTCTATAACTAGGCTGCTATTCTAACAATTTGATTGCATAATGCGCACGGGGCACTAAAAAATTAATAATTTATAATGACCTACCATATGAATTATTAATGAAATATCGAATGGCAAGGTAGGTAATAACTTGCGGCGAATGGATTTTTTTGTCGGTAAATAGCATTCCAAATGATCACTACCTAATGATCTATTCATAATGGCTACCCGAAATGGAAGAAATTGATATGACAACATGTATGACCCTATAACTACTTAGAAAGCATTGATTTGCTTGTATGTGCAACTACAGTGCGTCAAAAAAGTGTTGGTATACCCCATTTTATTTCTTGAATCGCAATAATAAAAAGATGTATTTTTTGAAACTAGTACATTTATTTGAAAACTAACATCAAAATAGTTATTTTCGATGGCAACACATTGAGCAAATTAAAAGTAATATAAGAGTAATAATAGGAGCTTTGAAATTCAAAGATCAAACAAGTATTGAGACACCAAAAACAAAAACGAACAAACAAGTAAATAAGTTTTAACAAACTTTATATACAGCTTTCTGGCAAGAGACCTGGTGGTTATCGCTTCTTGGGGACGCAACAATCTTGTACAGTATAATGCTTCCAAAACACATCACTGTACATTGACGTACAAAAAGCGTCCTAGAGCTCATCCGGCTTCGCTGGATGGCCGAAGTCGGCCAACGAGCCGTTCATTTCAGCTGGTCGGTGTCCAGAATACCAAACTCACCTGGCATGAACACATCTTGTCAATAGCGGCAGCTGCTGGGAAAAGCTAGGCTATTTGTTTACGTTTGTAACGTTAGAGAAAAGGCGAAAGGCCGTTAAACACTTTTTCGACAATACCTCCTTTCTGACTCGCAATGAAAGTAGTTATGTGATAAATTAAACCAGATATAAATATATTACAATTCTTGCACTTGCCTGTATCTTTGTGGAAGATGTAAGAGGCGATCGCCATAGCCGTACAAAATATGCACTGCACTTATTGCAATTTGGGCATTTCAATTAATTTCATTTATCAAAGAAAAGTACATTTTTTGCAATTTATTATATGGTTACGGAGTGACGAGGCAGGAGTTTTCTGAATTATTTCTGGTCCAATACCACGTATTCTCCGACTGCTAAACGTGTTGTGTGTGGAGGCGTGAAGGAATTTGATCTCTGACTATTGCAAAAGTCCCTGATGTTGTTTGTTTCTTGTTTCAGATTTACATGGATGAGAACACTGCGCTGGTGTTAGCACTCCAGCTGGTGGCATTATTCTCAATCGCAGGCGCTCTCCTGTTGTATCTGCTATGCAAAATCCGTAACGGTGCTGCCACAGATGTCTTGGATGCAGGTGTTCCAGGTGCTGGAAAGCCGGTTCTGGTCACCTCGGCCGATAATGCCATAGGACTTCAGGTAAGCATTCATATACACTTATACAGGATGAGACAACACTAAGTGGACGGATCGTTGTTACTAGATTTAAGCTTGAACCCGTGGAAAACAAAAAATACCTAGATCCTAGATAATAGATTAGATGCAATTTATTACTGTACATTCGTAGCACATTTACGCCCAGACAAAACAGCATGCCCAAAAGCGAGATTATACAGGTCCGTATTTTCCTCTATGGTCTTGGAATAATCTAAAAAAAATGATTATTTTTATAAAAAGAAGTGCACATACTTTATCTTCAGAGGTTCAATTTGAATATCAATCATATTGTCCAGATCCCACATCTTTGTTTCGATCGTGTCTTGAACGTGACGGATGCAATCTGCGCCGCAACCATCCACCCTCTACAAGAACGTTGGTTGTAGGACACCCTGTAGAGTCTCCCACGACGATGTGACAGTTCATATGAGTATAGAATACTACTAGGATTGCTTTTTTGGAACATTTAACCAAACATTGCGCCAACTGCTTTTTATATGACATATAGCCGAAAATGATTTTATAAAATATGTAGAAGGATATGTACCTAGTTTGATCTAGAATAATTTGAAAAACAAATTTGTCATGTTTTCACCAGTGTGATCTCCATTTGATTTTTCCTGTGTATGCTATTTTTGCGTAGGTGAATAGCTTTTAATTCTGATCTCGGAGATCCCAACGGCGAGGTTCGAATTTTATTTTTAGCAAAACTAAGTTTATATCTAACATCTCTAGTAATTCTAGTAATTTCTCATCTAATATATATTGATTCAGTTTGTGGAAAACTGCGAATGAGCAGTTTATTTTTTGTGAATTTTTTCATTTAATTTTTGCCTAGTTAGGCAGCGGCCCCCTTACGCTTCTTTGGGTATGTCATTGGTCCATCCACTGAAACTGTCCACATGACAAAAAAAAAATGCTAAACACGTACATAATAAAAAATGGTTTTGGTTTAATCTTGGAATCATTAAGGATGTCATAATTACACTTAAAACTGCCAAATGATTGAACTAAATCCTATTTAAAGCTCATTTACACGATGTAAAAACAAACAATCGATAAATAAATTCTCGTTCCTCTATTTGCCTGTTATGTCGTGGCTTGTTAACCAATAGCCAATAGGAGAGCGAGGATTTGATGTTTGGTCTCTGGCGTTTGTTTGGACGAGACGAAAATGATGATATTTCAATACAGTTTGATACCAACTACGCCGTTTCCAAGATGATTTTCAACAGCATATAAGCAGTTATTACTGCATTGCTTCTAGATCGCCCTCCATTTGGCAAGCCGCGGCTTCCGGGTGTTTGCCGGCCTGCGTGACGGCGCTGCTTCCGGTTCCGGCGCGGATTCCGCATCTGCGCGGGTCATCCGCGCATGGCAGAAGCATCGCGAAAGTGCGCCTGCGCCTGGGGTGTTGGTCGCGCTGCCACTAGATGTAACCAGAGAGGACCTGTTGCACGAGGCCGGGGACATCATCAGAGCGCACTTACCCGCCGGAGAGGATGGTGAGTATAACCATAGTATGAAGTTTACCTCATAAGTAGGTACAAGTTAGGGCACTCTTTATTCAAAACAATTTCTTCGTAGTTCTTCTCCCCAGGCTGGAGCCTGTTAAGACCCTTGGTAAGGCGAGAAGTGTCATATGCCTCTTTGGCCTGACACCGCTTTTAAAAATCACGTTTTCGAAGAATTTTCCGCACTTTGAGGAGTGGAAATTGAATAGCATGCAACGGATACAGCTCAGTGATTCTTTTCGGTTATTTTGGTGCCGTTGTCGCATTCGGCGTTGAGCACCAATCGGCCTTCTCGTCGATGGCACTTGATACTGCGCAATCCGTAATGTCTTACAGAGATAGAAAGATGTAGCTTAAGGCTCAGACAATCACCATGTATCCCGACACAACGTTATTGTACAATATTATCTAAATTTTAACAACGATTTCGTGAAAAATCAGATATACTCTACCAGTTAGTTTTAAACCGCTTTGCGACCGCAAACTCCGTTGGATCGGACAGATGCATTAGAAAAATACTAATAAATTATATCTTAGATACAATGTGTGATTTCTCACATGAGCCTTGTTCCTACTTCACCTACGTCTTTTTCACTGATTGCTTGACAAATAAATTTGAATAAGAAACGTCCGAAATTTTCATTAGCTCATGTTTCGAAGCAAGATGCTACTCAGAGCTATAAACACTTGAAAATAGTAGTAGCTTCGATACCATACGGTACTTCTTTTCTCCTAATACACAACATCCTTATCTATGTAGCTAACAGAACAGATAATTAATACTTTATTAATTTAGGCATATGGGCTGTGGTGAACACAAGTGGCCTTTCCTTCAGAGGTAGACTAGATCAGCAAGATATTTCACATTGGGATGCGATGCTGAAAACCAACGTAGTCGGTATTCTGCGAACGGCACGGAAATTCCAGGGCCTACTTCGTAACGCTAAAGGCCGTATTATCACAGTAAGTGACATCACACTTGTAATGTTTTTGTTTTAATCATGACATAATGAAAACATTTTCTACTATTTAGAGTATAATTTATTGTGTATCTCAGATAAATAATACTTGCTGCGATTTAAAAAAAGCTTCTTTGTATTATTTCATATGAAACAATATTTGGATGAAAAATCTCTATCTCTTTACTATGCATTTGTATATATCCACCTGTCATACAACATTATATGCTGGGATAGAGCGACTGGCATAAAAAGAGTCTCCGTTTCATAAAAACCTATCATCAGACTATTATTTGAGGAGCAGACTTTCAAATCGCACTTTGTCCATTTCGGACATTTTTCAGGAAATAAGAAAAACTGCTACACTGTTATTAATAAAATATAAAAAAAACACAAGATATGAAGAAATGTACTTTTTTTTATTATTTTACCCTACTTATAAGTTAACAACAGACCTTATTAGTTTTTGAAAAAAAAAATAATTTCTGAGGGACAAAACGCTATTTGTTTGTCTTTAAATGACAAAACGTAATTTGATTGTCTCTAAATGACTAAATTAAGAATATAAACTGAAAATGCATTTCTGCGTATTCAAAAACACTCAATTAAATAATTAAAAAATCATATGACATTTATGTCATCCTCTAGAAGGCAGCAACATTCTTCTCCTTCTTCACATTGATCGCAGGTCTGAGCTTCCTCGTCAATTACATTTTCACCATACTGATCTTTCAAAATTGGGTCTAACCAAGCTAGTTCTGGATCTGTCGCCCATTCCTTGCCCGATAAACTAACTAAAAATTTTGATAAGCTATCCAGTTTCTTCTTCTTTACAGCATGCTTCATTGGCAATTCCGGCAGTACTATATTACTAAGTTTCTTCTTTGGCTTGAGTAAACTTGAAAACTTTTTAGTAGGGTCATCATTCCTGTACAAAAATTCTATTTTATACAATATTTTATTTGCCCCAGCAGGTTGTTTGCCTCGAGTTATGATTATTCTTTTAGCTTCACTGATGCCTATAACTTTTTTGAGTGAAAGTGCTGCATGTTTTATGTCATACAAAGTCCAATCAGAGCCAAGCTTGCGGACTTGTCCTTTTTAGAATAGATTTCATAATATTTGTCTGGGCACTTAATAAAAGCGTGGGAACGTAAGTCTAGCTCAACTTGACCGAAAACTCGATCAGCTGGCATAAACGAGTGGCCACGAACGGGGAACGTCATCGTAATTGTTTCAATAGTTTTTGGGGCATTGTTCAAAAGCCACAACATGAGTGCATGTACCATGTGAGAGTTTTTATTCTGACCCCCACATCCATCTGAGAACAATCTTAGATGTTTAGTATTTGGGTCAAAATCCGTCTTTCTTAGAAAATCAGCCAGCGCGGAACTTATTTCTACCACACCTCTTCCCGCTTCATGCTCAAGCCACGTATAAAAAACAGGAGTTTTTATGGAAATATCTGTCACGCAAAATACATAAAAGGCCAGTTGCTGAGCATAGAATGCTTCCGCAATAGGTGCTTTTGGAAGAACCTGGACCTGCTGCAGATCAAAACAATATTCCACACTGTCAGGAGATTCCTCCTTCATTAATTTAAAAAACTGCATTGCTCGCGTCTTGTGAATGGATAAATCCATTTTTAATTTTAACCTTTGTTGTTCATCCTTGGTGGTGTTTATCTCAGTGTTTGTTCTTATGCAAAAGCCGCAAACATCAGTTGCTGGGCTTCCAAAGGCTAAAACAAATGAGCATGTTTGTAAAATGAAAAAAATGAAAAAAATAAATACTACCCACCTATATTAAACTTATTGCTGAAAATTCTGCTAAAGTACTTGTAGTTTGTTTGGAGTGAATCATCTTGAACTTGATGATTATACATCTTCCAGAGTTTTTTTATGTTTAATTCAGATGACAAATAGATTCTTCTAGACTTGCCTCTACCATAGTGGCTTTCATGACCCCTCAAAGACGATACAAACTTCATGACACTTTCTAGTTTGAGTGCATTTTTCTTGGACTTCCTGTCCCCACCACGATTGTCTTTTATACCAATGCCTTGCATCTTTTTTCTTACTATTGTATGAATTCTTCTTGGGCCGCAATTAGAAATGGATGAAAATAATTTTTGGCAAACAAAGACTTTTTTCCTATTATGCCAAACCTAAAAAAGACATTACTAAGTATTCTGTAAGCGGGAATTGAATAGGTACTGAAGCTTAGTTTGTTGAAAACACTTTCTGTGTGAAATTCGTGTGATTTTCCATTCTTTCTCTTCCTTTGCCTTTTTATTTCCTTTACATTCATCATCTGAGCTAATTTGTTATCCTGCGCATTTTTGTTCTTTTTTTCGTCATTGTAGAAGTTCTGTCTAATGATTTTTATGTCGGCCAACAAAAGTTCCATACATTCAAATTTTTTTGATCTATGGTCGCAGTTATTTTTAAAATTCAGTAAATCTGGGCCTAAATTTGAATATCTGAAACGAAAAAATTAAGCAACAAAAATACAACATAACCTACAATATCTCAATGTACCTTATTTCTCTCTTACGTTCTTTTGAGGTAGTATTTATTTTTCTTTTTCTCGTTCCTCTATTTGTATCTCCCACTATATGCTCACCTTCAATCATTTTTTGTTAAATTGCTCTAATAAACACTACTTTTTACGCACTACTAATATCACAACAACACTGTTGATTGCTACACTGCTTAAAAGTAAATAATAAAGTGGTTACATGGTAAGAAAGCATTACAAGACAACCGAATCGCATTTTGTCCAAAATAGTGCTGTTTGTTTGTCTCTCGCTAATGGACAAAATGCTTTTTGTTTGTCTAGGGCGTTTTTCAAGCCAGAAATATACGTGAAATATTGCGATTAGAATTTCTAGGAGTACGTGAATTGATAAATGATGTTTTAAAGAATGCAACGCCATCTATAAGGCAAAATGTGAAAATTTGGACAAAGTGCGATTTGAAAGTCTGCTCCACATTTAATCTCACTTTCAGGGAATCTTGCAGACATGCCTTTATCGACAACAAACTGCTTACTGTACCTTGTATTTTTTATGTATAAATTATGTTAAACGTGACATTAACTACTTCGAGGTGCAACATGAACAGCTTGATTATAATATAAGAATCACCAAGCTAGAATCAAATCGTTTTAGGACTCTAACTTACACAAGGTCACCGCACTATAATTTTGTAGCAATGTACAAGTATAATGCTCTACCTAGATACTCGAGGGATATAGCTAGCTACTGCAGTTTTAAAAGAATGGTCTTCAATCATCTAACTGATACATGTTTTTATTCTATTGACGAATTTTTAAATTGTGTGGATATTAATACCGCTAAAATGGATCTTTTTGAATATTATTTGTTACATAATTTTTAATTTTTTCAATTATTGTAATGTCTTATATACATACAATTTCAAATTTAAATTCGTTATTGCATGTTTCATGGATGTATCTTCGTATAACACTTTTTTTTATCAAAATACTACTACTGTCACTACTCTCACACCAATTTAAAACAACACTTGCAACTAATTTGTTACAAATTTATAACCATGTCGACTGGACTATCGCGTCACGCGCTGCTGGTGACTCAATGTCGACTGTCCTCTGACTCGACTGTATGATTCTGCCATCGTAACGCCTATTTATTTAAAATCGGTCAATCCAGAGCCTTCCAGATCACACGACACCCTTCATCGAAGCATGCTAAATGACGTTTGAAGATTTTAAATTGCAAAAGATGCTTTCCGATAAGTGTCGAAGGCTTTCGCACGCGAACATGTTTCATACAGGGACACGCATTTCTGTTTGTCTAGGCAAATCATCGTTAGTCAAAGTCTCAGTTACGAGGGTGCTACAATAACAGTGAAAATAACAATACTAATAGGAGTGATAATAATAATTTAATTATATTCTCATTTTATAAATATATACATTATACACACATTAGAAAGAAATAATCGAATTGGGAAAATCCCAAGAGGTCCTCTTCCACTGATCCCTTATCAGTAGTAGATTATATGTAAAAGAAATACTAATAACCCAAACTAAAACTAACCAAAAGAAAAAAACAAACATAGAGTCACCTAAAATAAACATGGGTATTGTAACAATTTAATTGTTCATAGCAGCCAAAAGTGGCTCTTTGTAAGTGGATTGCATGATTTGAAATAAGAAGGAAGAGTATTATAACAGCTACCAATAGTTTTAAAGCTTCTCCTAATCAGTCGCCGTGCGCTGCGCGGAGTCTAATACCATCCCAAGCGATTTTTTCCCTTGTCCATGGATGTTGTGATTGTCCGTAGATAGTAGACGGTCTTTGACTGTCGAACGCGGAGGTACCACTCGGCGGATTTCTGAGGCGGGCCCCTGATGGGTGTATGTTTCATGCGTAGCGCCCCCCCCCCTTCCCCTGTATCCTCCTATAGCCCCACGGTAACCATGGATGTTTAGGCCTTAGTCCTTCGTGGTGATTCGAGTATAAAGCAACGTGCTCATACTGTTTAATCCCGTATATGAATTTAATATGTATATGCGCCGCGCCGCCTAAGGTTACAAAGATTCAGATGTCCTTTACACAGGGCGTCTCATAAAAACCTAGCAATATATCATGGATTTTTGAATATCTTTTACTTGATTATGACAAGGATATCTCCCAACCATACCTTTGAGTATAACTTTGTATTGTTTTTCTAGATTGGTGCCACAGATCACTTAGGAGCAGGTCTAGTTGCTTACATGGCCAGTAGATATGCTGTTGAAGGTGCCAGCAAAGCGTTGAGACACGAATTCTCGCCACTGGGCATTCAGGTAGTTACCATCAACCCCCAAGGCATTATGCCGGAACTGTTGTTCTCAACCCCGAAGATAAACAGGTAGGCCGGATATTCTGCTGCTAATGAGTAAAGTTCTGATACGATACTGAATTTCAACATATGCACTATTACCAACAGTACCAAATTAATAATACAAAAAGGCAGTTAAACAGATGTCAGAATGTGTTGGTGTTTTGATAATCATTGTAGAAGCGTGCCTCTTGCATGAGACAACTAATTTTAAGACGCTGCTATTTTTAACATCTCTGTTCCTGAAAATTTTGTAGATCACGTTTATTTACCTCAGAGCATACAGGATGGCACACATAAAAACTAATTATACAATATGGTCTAATTATCCACATATCAGTTTAAGTAGAAAGCATTTTTTTATTCGGCGCTTCAAAAAAGATTTATATACATACGTACCTATGGGTTTTGATCACTAGTTGCTGAGCTATTGGATATTCCATCTAAAAAAACGCTAAATTTTGACAGCTTGGACATATTATGTAATTTGTTTATCGTCCATTTCAACCTTATTCATTCATTATTTAAATTCTTTGATTGGCCATTACAGTTTACCTAAAAATAAATAATTTTTTAAGCTATTTAAAGTTTTTCACAGATTGCACATTGTGACAAAAAATGCATTATCTATTAAAACCAGAGATGAGTAGTAGACTTGAAATTAAAACTAAATCCATTTAATTCATTAAAACTACACTTTTTCCATGGGATTAAATCAAGTCCATGTTTATATTTGTAATGTAATTGAATACCGAGAGATGATTCTTATAATAAACATGAAATTATTATAATTTGTATATTAAGGTATATATTAAAGTGCAACAGATAAATAAACGATTATCAACTCATCTTACTAATTCCCAAATGGTGAAAGTATTACATTAGGAAGTTGATAAACTTAAAATAAATATAATGGGTTAAAGGTCTAAGATATTCCAATGGTACATTGGACAAAAAATTACAAAATGACACATTAGTGACTTTTTGAATAAAATATCCAACATAACACAAACCCACAAAAAATGTGGTGTGCATTGGGGGCCCCAGTTTGTTTTTTCCATGTATTTTTTACTAAAATCTATTAATTTAGATTTTGAAATTAGTTCAGCATTTTGTCCATCAACTCACAATTCTGACATCGGACTCGTACTCAGCGACAGAAAGTACATGGGAAAATATATTGGGACCCCAGCACACATCAGTTTTCTTGTGGACCTGCGTGACCAAAACCCAAAACCCGTACGAATGGTATAACATCTTATTTTAAAATTGTGACATCCTGTATAACTACCAATACCCCTGTATATTTAATTTCTAAGTTCGTTGGTCCATTCTAACAATGTAATGATTTTGTAGCACTGAGGGGAAAGAAACGTCAGTGGATATGAGTGGTGTGATGGAGTATCAACCGACAGTTCTTTCCAAAAGAGCACTACAAATCCTCGATATTGCCATAACGACCAGGAAGCCCAAGTGCAGCTACAGTTTGGAAGAGAAGATGTGGTGTAAACCGTTTGAGATTTTGAAAATTGTTTAGATGTAATAAGTTGTTCGTAAGCGTATTATTGGTGCTTGTATCGGTAAATGCGACGTAAATATAAGTACAGCGACGTCTATTATGCCTTACTGAAGTAATATGAATATTTTATATTATGATTTCTATTTCAAGGACGTGTGAGTGGGATAACTTCAGTTCTCGAAACTATAGAAGAAGTAAAATAACGGACCAAAATGCATTTCGTCAAGTTTGTGCTTTGACAAGAAATGTTTTCTGTTATCCGTGTTACCTTATAGGATATACTAAATTTTACTACAATCTTAACTACATATTTTAGGTTACTCCATAACTACTACGTGCAAGTTTTTTATTATCTAAGAAATTTAAAGATTTTTTGTCTATATTGAATTAGAATATCGATATATTTTAACAGTGTTTGAAGACGTGCCCCAAATCTTTATGGTTATTCACGGAATGATTTCTCTTCCATATTGACATGCACCCATTTTATATCAGCTATTTATGTATTGAATTTCAATACCTCGTTAATTTTGACAAGACAGTCAATTTTGTAAATAATTAGGGTAACGTGCTATGTATTGTGTTACTTTGATTAATTATATTGAATATACAATATTTTCATACTGTAGCGTTTTTCTGTGTTCTTCTGGGTGTGGATTAAAACATTGGATTCCACAAAAAGAAATGCACTGATTTATTTAACTTGATAGAACATTTATAGACACCACTATTTATGTCTGACTAACTCTTATATCGCCATTGACTACACTATACTCCACTCCGCTCTGCTCTGGTGTAATCTGTACTCTCTGCTTCCATCTCCCGGCCGCCGAGTTATATATAGTCCCAATTGCTCCTTCGAGAATGGCCGAGTGAACTACAAAGCGACATCTAGAATATTGGACGTCACTTCGCGTCGATCTAGAAGGCGATCCACCGTCACGGTCCGCACAGACGCCGCCAAGCGGCTTGTGCGGTCGTGGTTCGCGTAAAAGCAGAGATCGGCCATTAAGCTCTGGCGAGTAGGATACTCGCAAAACAGATGGCGCCAACTGAACTATTTTTCACAATGCTTACCTCTTTTTTTAAAACAATTCGTCTGATCACAGATCACTTATCGTCTTGATGATTCTAAACGCTGAGACACGTTATTGCCACTTCAACAGCTATCACTCAAACTCACATATCAGAATGTAAATAACAGATTATTAGTACATGTAAATTGTTGGACTGACAGGGGAGAGTTTACGATATAGTACGTGAATTCACTTGGTAGCTTGTGATTCCATCTCGCAAATAGTGTGTCCTTGCCTCAAGTCGGAGAGAACTATGCTTAGTACTTAACACCTGAAACTCATCCTATAAGATGTCAACTTGCAGACTAGACAGTTTTTAGGGTGCAAATAGTCATTCCACGTTTGCTCACTAGTATCGTTGTGAACGTCCATCTATGGAGGAGTCACTCAACTAAACTACACGCATTATTGGTTGCACAGTTTTGTGAGGCTGAGTGATCCGTGTCTGTAGTTTATATCTCCGAGAAGAAAGTTGGTTGAATAGCAAGATCGCATCTGGATGATTATGTGTATTGGTCTGCATGTGTATAAAATCAGTGATATTTGCTGTGTGAGAAAATCATTACTGTATATGCTGAGTATAACGGGTTATTTATATGTTGTGCTTTCTGAAGGGAGGTTATGTTCAAAGTTATAAATTACGAAAAACTGAGGAGAATTACGAGAAATCATCACCGCGCCCGCGTTGTGTGTAATTATTGTTAGCATGTATATGGCTTGTAATTCGACAGTGTATAGTGAATATAATTATTTCTTATCTCTCTCATTTTTGAAATTCAGCAAATTTGTATATGTAATTTCCAGAATGGATAAGAAAAAGTGGATGCGCAATTAATATCTAGCTTTGAATCTGGATCAAGTGTATTTGAGACAAGAACCCAAATTATCATCAACACATACAACTTAGCATAAACCTCCAGTAATGTCATCTCAGAAGTAGATTTTACATCACATCAGAGCCAAAGATTGATAACAAGACTCATGACGTTTAGGCAATACGTACAACTGAGTGCTAAGTTAATATCTTGTAGAAAAACCTACATAATGTCAAAAAGATCTGCATAATGTCGCTTTTCAAGATACGTCATACCCGTGCGGGTCACTTGATTAATCTGAGATAAAAAAACATATTTTTATATAGAACATTCTAGAACTCGGCAGAGAAAATTTACCTATAATTAATCATATTTAATATCAGAACTTGCTACAGTAATATGTCTATACTATATAATTAAGTGGACACTTATTTACCTACATCAGCGGTTTAGAAGCAATCCTTGCGTGAATCATTATACGTTATATTGTGTCTGTTCGAAACGTTTTAAATATGTAACATATTAAGGGTAGAGGGAAGACAAGCATAGAAGAAATAACTAAATTTTATACTCTTTAAACTGGCTACGACACCTCGCGAATGTTGCCTTATATTAATGGAAGCGTCCCCGATAGCATTAAATGTTTATTAAATGTTTTAAAAAAAAATGTTTGTTAAATATTTTGTATCGACAGATTTTTTAATATTTAATAAATATATTTCCTATATATTTATATATTTTTATGGGTATTTGCAGGATATATATATATATATATATATATATGTAATTCATGTATTTTTGCGATATTTTTTCCAAATATTTAGAACATATATGTGGAAAGATTTTTAAATATCAATTTTATATTTTGATGAAATATCTAATATTTTTCGTAAATATGTATGGATTTTCAAGCATTAATCTGGTACATATTTTCAGTGTATATAGAAAATTCTTTTAACAAAATCTGTAGTAATGCTTTTATAAAATTTGGTTTATAAAGAAAATTGATTCTAGATATAATGGTTTAATTTGCTAGAAAAATATTATTAAGAAACATTCTAAGCCTCTTCTGCATCTTGTAAATCCACTCCTCTGAAAAAAAACTTACTAATTACGAAATACAGTAAGTATTTTACATAAACCGGCTTTCCAGTGTATTTATGGGAATATAAAATGCAGTGGAACAATATTGGTGCTGAGTTACTCCGAATAGCTCAACTGGGCCACTGAAAAGCAGCTCTATAATGCACCTATGATAGTTCGAGATTTGATTAGTTTTTAAGAAAATTTGGTATGTTATTTTAGATATCTTGATGAAAAATGTCCTTGGACACAACTTGATCCTTTGATTAAGTTTCAAAGAAAAGGTTTTTAAAAATAGACCACTTATTGATTTTGCTGGAATGTAACCTTTTTGCAGTAGTAATGGTGCTAATTTAGCCATAACTACTTTGTGATTTTATATTATAATTCAAGGGACAACAATATAGTATTTTCGACTGTTAACATTTTGGAACGTCGCTGTTGAACTTTTAAAATAGTTATAGCTGATTTGCCCGACAATTTGACGACAAAAATAATAATAATAATTGAAATATATAAAAAAAGCATTTCTGATGTATTTTGATCAAGTTGCGATTATATGACTTTTCATCGGGATGTTATGAATATGATTTTCGTATCCATTCTCAGATAAATTCACTAATCCAAAATAACTGTTACACTGCAAGGCTAGTTATTTATGGTCTTGTAAATACCTTTACACTCAACTGGCAAAATAATTTTTACTAGTCAGATAAATTAAGCTGTTTAATTATTGAAAAACTTACCCTTTTCCCTTTTCCACAAAAAACACTCAAATAATGTACCCCTTGGAGGTGGACAGGAAGCACGCTATCATAGTGAAACTCACAGGCAAAATGAATACCGACTTGCCATTATGCCATTGGTCGCTCGGGATCACACGCACATGCGCCGTAAGCGAAAATATTTAATGAACATTTTCTAAGTAAAGGAGATTTTGCATTGATTGAAAGTAATTATTCAATTGAGATTAGGTATAAAACAAATATGGTATTTAAAATATTCAAAAGATATTTATTGATATTGATATTTAATAAAAATATCATATTCCAAATATTTATTAAACATTTGTTTAAGAAAACAAATGTTTAATGAATAGTATAATATTTATTGAGTATTTGTTTAAGAAAACAAATATTTAATGAATATTTTGTGCCACTGGGGGTCCAATTCCGGAGGTACAGCAAGAAAAATCGCATCAAGAGTTGGTATTTCAGCAAATACTAGTAGTATATAATGCCAATAACAGCTAAACCGACACATATACAGCGCAAAAGAGCCACCACTATCCAATGAACGTCACCCGGTTAGACTTTGCCAGAATTCATATGACGTGGGATAATGGGTGGAAGAATGTGGTTTTTCCGATGAAAAAAGTTTCAACTTGAACAGGCCAGATGGATCTGGCCTGTTACTTCCGTGATTTAAGAAAAAATAAAAACTTTAATCGAGGCTACATAGTAGCATTGGATCTGTCATGATTTGGGGTGCTGATGTATGGATCGACCAGTGAATTTAGAGGTTTTGTCAGGAAGACAAACAACTGAAAATTATAAACAAATGCATCAGTACAAATCGTCGAAATAAAAAACATTGTTTACTGATCCGTCATGGATATTCCAACAGGGCAACTCCCGAGCTGCTTCAACAAGACTAAAATTGACATTCTTCGATGGCCCACTTGACCTAAATATTTGGAGGTGACACGGAATGCAATATAATGATAGAAAAGCATTGATTTCTTCGATTAAGCCCGCTTGGTCACAGTTACCGCAAAAATTTTAATTAGTAAATTTTGATATGGAACCCTTTCTATGCGTATTATACGTATATAAACATCTTAGACAATGTACAAAAAAAATTTCTTAAATACTGTGTTTATAAAATCGATGGCACATGTCAATTTGTTCTGCTGCGTCGTTTTGAACTAGTCTCTACAATTAAGACGTTCCACTGCTGGCCTGTCATTCCTTCATAGGCTTTTGCACCAGAACTTATCCAGAGGTTAAATTTCTGTATTCCACGGTTAAATACGAGAAGAACTCTAACTTTCTACTGCAGTACCTCCCGTACCAATGTATTATTTTATTCTCGGCTACATTCTATATGCAACAATTATAATTCCATAGCAGACAGTTCTGACATTAATTTTGATTGTATTAGTAAGATCTTGTCGAATTTCAGGTACTATTATAATAGCTAATTCTGTTTTTAAGTTAGTTTTATGTATACATTATATGTATGTATTATAAGTAAAGATACCATTATATTGTCCTCTAATTGGAATATTTCTGTTGGGCAATTATGTATAAAAATAAAATATGACTCTATCCTTCACCGAATCTATGAAGGGGTGTTAAATAAAAGAGGCAATACAAATTATTAAAATACAGTAATACAAAAAGAATTTTCAGTTAGTTATTATTATAAAACTAGGATTAAATGACAGTACATTATTGGGGTGCTTTTTTCATTATTATTATAAATATATATATAAGAAATATAAAGAAGTTAACAATTAACAATCATCGTACGGTCTAGTACTGGAGACAGGTAAACGGAAAGTAATCAAGCTGATATGATCTACTGATGAATGTAGTGCGCGAGTATAGGTAAACTACTCATAGGTGGCAGTGTGATTTATTTATTTCTAGCAAAGATTTGTCAAGAAGCCATTCAATTCGGCTTAACCGACTTCAGTTTGTTGAGGACATGGTTTGGCACGAGCAAGTATCATCTATAGCATCAAGTGCTGGGCAAAAGCTAGCATAATCATTTATGGTACGAGATTAGGAAGAATTTTTGTCTATAACCTCACTTTGTGAAGGGACAGCTGAGAACTATCCTGGAGTGCTATTCACGTGACGGGCGTGTGACTGTTCCGACTACACTGTCAATACTTGGTGATGTTTAAAGGAGGTTTATCCGATGCCGCCTGCCAGTGGCTGTCGTTTTGACCGGTAGGACTGCCCCTATTTCTTCATCGAACAATCTACCAGAACAGGTTTCCTTCAGGAGGTAACACGCAATGCAAATCCATGAACATAACAAACTTTGGGATAAATTTATATGATCTTGGGAGCTCGATACATGCTGCGAGGCGCTGCTACGCTCAATCGTCTGCGGGCTGGGCTGCGGAACACGCTTAAATAATCCATTCCCGTCGGCAGCGATTGCGAGCTGCTGATATGTTCAGCATAATATGGCATATCGACGATCTCAAATCAATATCTCGAAGTTCGAAAATGTAGATTTTCTTTGTTCTGTTTTGATTCCTGTATGCATGCAGGAATGCTATCAGAAAATCCATAGTGATGGTTCTTATTCGGGAAGCATCGGCGATCTCAAATCAATACCTCGTAAGTCCGAAAATGTCGATTTATGCATACAGGAATCAAAACAGAACAAAATCAGAAAATCGACATTTTATTTTGGACTTACGAGATACTGATTTGAGATCATCGATATGCAATATGTCAACTAGATACTGGACGTGACTGTACGATTATAAAAACAAATAGTATGAATAAAAAGTTTATTGACAAAAGTAAGATACATGTATCACATTAAATATAGACTTTCTCCATGAAAACAATTCTTTGCAAATATTTTCGCGACGTAGCAACAGGAATGACCGTATTTGTGATCCCATTCCATTTTTGAGATTGTTCAGAAAAATTCATACATCAAATTATAAAGCGACAGCGAAGTCCCTATTATGGAGTAATGACAGCAATGCATAATTTTGCTCCAACTAGATGGCGCTAGTGTTGTTGGAGGCAAAACTGTCACGATACTTAATCAGGTCTTGACGTGAACAGCCTTTTGGTGAAGCCTGTCTGTATTCTACCCACCAAAGCCATGACAACTATGCTAAACGAGCATACCCACAGAATCTTCAAGAGCATGTGGGATTATTCATCGGACTGCTAAGTCGGTAAGGAATTCTTCAGATATCGTAGTGAGGAAGTAGCCAAAACTACCTGTCTATGTTCAGATAACAACTTCGAGATGCAACTGGCATTGCAGCGGGACACTGTCAGCTAAGGAAGGATCTCTATGAAACCTCATGTAGAGGATGTGAACAGGAAGATGAGGCAATTAAGCAACTGTCCTGTCAATTTGAGAATCCATTCTGGAGGCACGCTGGCGAGCGTAAGGGAAATCCTGTTGGGTCGCCTCACCACTTTTTTAGTCTGGGGTGGCTGACGATATAAACTTGACTGACCCCTGGGCAAGACGTACAAAGGGCCTAAATGCTGTAGTCTTGATTGACTGCCTTTCCTCTACAGAATACAGAGAACGGCGACTTGAGCTTGTTCTTTTGTAGTTTTATCAAAAGAAAATACTATTTAAGATGACCGCCAAGCTTACTAGCACCATCTGCTTCTAGCTTCCCAGGTTACCCCCTTCGATGGAGATTGAAAATACGTTTTCAGTACAACATGTTGCAGCCACATGCGCCGCACCGCATTATGTTACTCAAAAAGTGACCCAGTACACGAATTAACATTTTACCAATTTTTGACATGATATAGGGGAAAGTCGGATATGTTGTACCCGCCTTCAAGTTGTACCACCTCAATGTTTCCTGAACTATAGATTTTTAATGCCATCTATTCAGCTTGTTTGATATCTCTAGCGAGTAAAATTCAACTTAACCACACTTTTTAAAAAGAAATAATTTGTGTCATTCGTACCAGGGCTGCGTTCGTAAATTGTTACAGAATGTACTTTGTACTATTCCGTTACAATTTTAGCGTTCGTAAAATTGTTTGACGTACCTGTTCCAAGCATTCAAAAATAGAACAAAGCAATTCTTCCGAAACGTCAAAACTGTTCAAAGCCTTGGAATAAGAGTGTTGTGACGTGTCATTATTATGGTTCATTGTTTGTTTACTTTATTTTGTTATCAAGAAGTGCTAAAAATTGGCAGAATGTATATTTTTCACGATAAATGGGCTACCACGTATCCTTGATTGTCATAGTTTCTGCTGTCCGTCAGAAAGGCGCTCTATTTTGAGGTTACGTTACAAATATCTATTTGCATCAAATTGTTCATGCTTTTGATTTTTATCATATGTTTTACCAGCCTGAAGTTTCCTGAAATTCAAAAAGAAAACATAACTAGGAGAGCACTGAAGCTGACACGGAACAGTAGACATTTAGAAATACGCCAGCCTTTCAGAAGGAGAAAAAAGTCTATAAAAATCGAGGAATCCATAAAGGCGTCCTACAATTGTAGGAACGACCGACGAGACGGCCCTTACCCACTAGGTTTGGGTTGTAAACGATAGAAATGAGATAAAAATGCTCGCAAATGGGTTAGGTGCAGAATATTGTTGATATATTTAAAAGGTATAAACACCTTAATCATGAGATTTCAAGAATGGAGCGGATTATATGCACACGCTACGTTGCCACATTGGAGAAATATAAGAAAAATAACGAAAATACTCATTTCCACGGGTAGCAGCTCTCCTTTTACAGCAGAATTTTTCCTCCTTTGAAACGCAGCTATAGGTAAGTGCATTTAACGTTATGTAGGGCTGTAAAGTTCGAAGTCATACATACAAATTTAGTTATTGAAAATATCGATCAACACGAAAACCCATGAAGTAATGAAAACTGAAAACTATGGCAACCTATGAAAACAAATATCCAATAAAAACATATAATATAGTAAAATATTTCAGAACTTTTATATTTTCGCTCGTTTTCAGTCCCATCTCTTTCATCCACACCCAAAAACTAGGATCTGAAATCATTTTTTCATCAAAAACAGCTGGTTCAGCTAAGCTCGGGATTACTAAATAAAGGGACACGGTATTGCAGAGTCATTCGACATTCCATTACTGTGTACGGGATCACATTACCAAGTGACTTACAGACGCATCCATGCAGGGTAATTTGTACCAACAGCTGGTTTGCTAGATCGTACCGGTAAACTTTAACAAACTCGTGTATTATTTTTCAGTCATTCCTCGCAAGGGTTTAAAATATGGAAAATGGAGGGAGAAACACATGAAATCGTCAATGAAACTATACCAAAGGAGAAAATTTGTTAGAGTAGGGTAGATTCGGGCAAAAGGGATATAGTGGGCAAAAGGAATCAGCTAAATAATTGAATCGCTCATAAGTGGAGAGGTTTTTCGAAAATTTGAGTGACGTCATCGAGAAAACCTATATTTTGCTTGAAAATATATACAATGAAGATGAAACCTCTACAAAAGGACCCCTAATGTTATTTCTCTGAAAGGCAAAAAAGGAGTTGGAACTATATATTCCTCCGAGCGAAGCACACTAGTAACGGCACTGTTTTGTTGTTCTGCTGCCGGGGCATACATTCTTCCTACCTTGGTTTTCCCAACGAAAAAGAAACATCCAAGGTACATGGAAGGAACTCAACCAGGTTCTTTTCAGTTAGTAACTGATTCTGGATGGATAAGTTCCGGAGCTTTTCTGGGGTGGATTAAGTTTTTGTGAGCAACTTTGGACCAACTGAAGATCATAAATGTCTATTAATCTTAGACAATCATGCGTCGCAAAGGTCTAAACATTTCCTGGAATATGCCTCTCTGAATAATGTCATCATTCTGTCGAGTCCACCCCATACGACACATAAGCTCCAGCCGTAAGATGTGTCCGTTTATGGGTCTTACGGAACGTATCTCCAGAATGAAATTGACAAGTGGCAAAAAGCGCATCCTGCACAACGCGTCACTTTGTTTGATGTGGGCAAAATTTTTAATAATGCGTACCTTAAAGCTGCAACACCAACAAACGCTATAAAAAAACTGGCATCGCAAGATGTGATTTAGATGTTTTTTCCGAAGTGGACTTCCTTCCAACAGATGTAACAACATTGGAGAACCAGAGGACCATATTAATAATAATCCTCAAGATATGGATGCTATTCATAAAAGACATAAAAACACTCCAGATAAATTAATTAAATTAGGCCCCTTAATGATGTCGCAAAACATGGACCTTCTGGTATCAATAATAATACGACTTTAAAACAAGCTAGTGACGCTCCAAAAGGAAATGCGATGAACGAAAAGAACCCAAAACAAAAAGAAATTAACAGAAATCAGAGATTTTTACTTCGACGCCAATTAAAGAAGAAATTCGAGAAAAGAGTAAGAGCAAAGAATGCATAAAAAGCGTTAAAAGGAAGATCGGACAATATACAGAATCCAGCAAACTGAAAATACCTCGTCAACCTTCTCCTATCGAAAACCGGTCCAGAAGCAGAATAAACTCGATGTTTAGTATGTGAAGATTCCTTTGAAACCTGAATTCCAGGCGAATACTGGATACAGTGAAATTTTTGTGACAAGACTGGAAGAATTTATACATATCAAGATTGTCAAAATCAGGTTAAAGATCAGAGAAAATAATTGGTTTAAGAATAATAAATTATTGTTACCTTTTTCAGTTTTTATTAATAATAATATATATTTTTTTATTTTCCATATTATATTCCTTCTTTTTAATCCTTTTGCCTAACCTGTGATTTATTTTACCCTAGAGGGTCGGGCAAATAGAATCAAATGTAGACTTCAATCATCTAGGCAGTAACTTAAGCTATATTATAAAGTTAAAATAGTAGTGTTTAATGTTGCTGAAATAATTAAAATCTGCGTAAAAGTATTCAGATAGATCTTTTTTTAATAATTTCGTGCTATAAACTGGCACTATCCGAAAGTGATTTCGGCTGCTCTCTCTCTCTCCCCTCTTATTATTTGTTCCTTATTTGTGATGTCTGTATTGTAAGTGAGATAATTTCATAAAATATGTTAGCTGGTACAAATTACCCGACTTTCCCCTATGTTTTTTACCTGATAACAGTTGCTCAAATGCAACATCTTGCAAACTGCGACGACGTGTGGCACATGATGCGCAACATATTTGTCGCCGGACCTTGTATAGCAAATGTCGGAGCGCAATTTGTTGTAGTGGGTTTATTGTGGGGGTGGTCGAACGATTTGTTCAAACATAATAACTGTATATTTTGGACGATCGTCAACGATTGTTTGAATGACGGGGGTTGGACCAAGAAGAGCTCTCGGTCTGTTTGGAGGGGTTTGTTGACCTGCGTGACTAGGGGTTGGTGCAAAAGTATGACTAGCGGTTGGTGCAAAAGTATGACTAGGATTAGGAACCACAAATCTCGTTAGATCTAGTTCTTCTCCTTCCAGTTCTTCTTCCTGATGTTGTTGCGGTGGAACTATTATCAAGCCATTGGCGTTACAGAAACTGGTCAAATTGCTACTAATCTGATTCCTCCTGAGCACTATTTTAGGCTCACATCCCAATCCAGTCGTAACTTTAACTCGTAAATAGTCTGGTCTTGAATCAGTGTTTACAAGCCTCTGAGATAATGGAATACGGAGCAGAGGAAACTGGAACACCTTTTCGTTTTCTATATATCGTAATACAGGGATGATGAAAATAATAGCACAGACAGTGCACGATGCAGGATTCCCAGGCAAACAAAACACTTTTTTTATTTTGCCTTTATATGACAATGTTGCGAATGATGTAGGCTTCCTAAAAATAAAATGTCATATAAAAATGAATATCCAAGTGATATTTATGTATTTAAGAAATTAAGTAAGCATTTATAGCTAATTAGGCCATATACATGGTATTTCCAATTCGACCGTCACCATTGGAATGCCGCTTAGAAAACTTCGAAATTCAAAGTACTTCCGGAGAGAGACGGAAAAACAGAATTTTCTCAAAATCGTTTTAATTTTTTCCTGACCTCATTTGTGGTGGGATTTTAAAATAAATTGCACGTTAATATTGCCGCCACTTTTTCTCTTGTAGGTCCTCCAGCATTAACTTAATTTTTTCTCATGACCCCCAAAATGGATTTTTGCGTAGATGAATAGAGTTTCCAATTCTGATTTAAAAAACGTATAATATGTCATACACTGACATTGCCAAACCTTACTTATTCCAGAAAAACAGAAGTAGAAAGTAGAAATTGAACATAGCAACAGAGTTTGGAACAGTGAGAAGAAGGGAAATAAATCGAGCAGTACAGATAAGAGTCAAGTTTTGCCTACAAAATAACGGACAACATTCTGCTATGATTTACCTCTGCTTATTTATATTTATAATTATAATTATTATTACTATCAATAACATTTTAATTTTGTGTTTAGATTTCACCATACCTTTTTATTTGCTTACAATTTTCATCCAACAACAAATTTATGGCCATCTAAGGAAATACGTCACTGAATTTAGGACTCAAAAGTCCATTTAAATGTACAAAATTCCAATTTAGCGTCCATAAAAAACGAAGTTGGTGATGGAAGTCGAAAGAAGTAATCTGGGATTGAAAATTTTACTACGCCATCTTGTAGAGGAGTATGAGTAACAATGACAACATGCAATTTTTATTTTGAAATCCCGTATCAAATAAAGCCAGGAAAAATTAAAACTACTAATTTTGGGACAAATCTTGTAGGCGAAACAAATGACTAGCTGTTAATTTCCAGTCCTAGCTAGGAAATTCCCCTTTTTTTTGAAATAACTAAGGTTTGGCAACATCAATGCATAACGTATAATACACACAAATAAATTTTATTCTGGAGGACAAGAGTCGAAATGCCATATTGAAATTTTAGAAAAAGTGGCAATATTAATGTGCAATTTATCTTGAAATCCTACTACAAATTAAGTCAGGTGTCGATTGCTGCAACCGTTGTTTAGCACAGCTCTCGTGGCTGTTGCTGGCCAAACAATAGCACTAGAGTTGGAGAAGGAAGGAGAGATAGCATGCAACTGGTGATGGACTAGAAGCCGACTCCAGATATTAAAAACTGGAATGACAAGGGGGTGGTGCGGATAGAATACTCTACTGTAAAATTTCACTCAGAACGTGGTTCTTTTGTCAGCTAAATAAATAGGACGAGAAGGAAAGATTACGTGAACTGTGTATATTACAACGAGTAGGAGGATACTCCTAGTCGTCTACTCGATTAAGGTAGATAGGTTAACTACTAGAGACAACTAGAAATGACGCACGGCGAGAGGTTTATTGCTGTCATTTACAGGCATGTAAACTCTGGGGTAAATGAGTTAATATTTAACACATAGTGAGTCAGATGCTATTGATCAAGGAACAGGGTGATAAAAACTCATCGAGAAACCAATATGTTTCTACTTGCTGGATTGTACAAGCGATCCAAATTGCACTTACCTCTTTCGTCTTCTGGCCTCCAAAAATACCGAATTGCAACGTTGTATTAGCGCCGAAGACAGTCTAAAAAGCATTATAGATACTGGAAGGTAATGTCCGAGCGATAAGTAATAGATACGAGTAAAAGGAACCGCATTCTACAGGGGCGCGCGACTTGGGTTTGGTTGTCTCCAGTTTGAAAATGGGTGTAAGAGCGCTAAAATTAGTAACCAGAAAAAAAGCAGATTCTCCAAACGTTGTACTTACATCCTAAAAGCTTTTTCGGTGGAGATGAAAACAATTAATTTGTTTTTTAAGCGTTCGTGTTTATTTTGCAGTGAACATAAATAATGTAGACTGAAGAGTATAAAATTAAATAAAAAAAAATGGAACATGACATCTATTTTATCGCAACATTCTTGAACAATCCACAGCCTATGTTTGAACAAGGAATCCATACTTTTTGGGTATATGATGAAACGTCATAAAAATATAAAACTCAAAATACTTTGGAAACTTTTGCCATTGCTCATTGACGTAGGACGTAAAACTAAATAAGAAATTTGTGTCGTATTTTTTTTCTTTTTGATACTACCCACTCATGAATCACAAAAATTTAGTTGATCAATAAAAAGCTTAACTTAATACTAACAACTTTTTAGGAGACAAAAAAATAACGGTGGGTCTTTGGATTTCCTATCGAATGATCTCATATTCCTCCATGTTTTTATAGTCGCAAATTAAACCTCATATTCTAATAGTGTCGTTCCGGCAACCACGGTGGCTTTTTCAAGTAAATACATAGGGTATTTTTTTGAGTTTCGTGGTGTTACAACTTAAGCGACGACGTCTCAAATTCCAAATATGTTGGAATAACAATACTCGCCTTTACATCATTAGGGGAGCATTGAAATAGCGCTCCTCTTCCATCTAGTTTGGCGGCACGTAAAACACTCCTGACTGTGATCTGCGGTGAACTACATGCAGGTCATCTTCATTACCTGGATGTTTACCTTCCTCCTCACTACTTGCCATATCACAGACACCACAGTTAAACTGTCCGAAGGTTCTTGGACACCACAATATAATTTCAGTCACTTCGCCAGAAACTGTTTTAACGACAGAGTGACGCTAGTCTTCTAGATTCCATATCATTTCGCCAGTATCCAAATGCTTTTTGAACAACCTTAGGAGCTAATGCGACGTTGCAATTCGGTACTTTTGGAGAACAGAAAACAAAAGAGGTATGTGCAACTTGGATCGCTTATTTCTGTACATATGAACACATAGAAATGTATTTGTAGGACGGTGAGATTAGGATGACTAATAGCTTTGGAATTAATACATAATGCTACCCTCCATGGTGAAATGTTGCAAGCATTACAGTGATGGGAAATGTAGTAAATGGCTGAGAGGTTTCAGTGAGCAAGATGTAGTTCTGATAAATCCTAGATTCAGCTATTTTGCCTTAGAGAGGCTATAATAAAAGTTATCGAGGTCGTGGCCTTCAGATTTGAAGGCACAAATTCAGTACTATCTTAACGAGGCGACCAAGTCTATGATTTACCAAAAACTATCTTACCGAATTTTGAAAGTGCCTTTATCTCAATGAAGAATTATACGAATATTACCCTGGTTTAATGTTGATGCGACCAAAATGAATTCTGGCTTCAAAGTCTTCCTGTAGTACACGTTTGACAACATCAAGTTCTCCCATGGATGCCCCACCAGTTGTAATTACAAACTCGTTCTCATCTAGTGCCTTTTCTAGGGCCTGCTTAATTTCACTGGGACTGTAAAAAACGATATTCAATTTGTTATACCTTTAATTATAGAGAGTTTAGTATAATAAACTGTATTTGATGATTTGATCTAGCGATACTCGAATTAAATAGTACAAACAAAAGGGTACTGAAAACATTTTTTTTAACAGTTAACCGGAGAAATCACAATTATTGACCGCAATGCCCCATTGAGAAGCAGCAATCCACTCCATTGATAAATAACGATAACGGAAGAATACTTAGGTAAATTATGAATGTTAATTTATTTGTTATTTATTTATTTAATATTTTGTCCAGCTAACTTCATTATGTTAGTTTGACAACTAAACTTTACGTTTCGTAATATTTGAAAACAAATACGAGGGTTGTCTCAAAAATAAGGTTCCCACATTTTTGCAGGCGCCAGGAATTTTTTATTTAGAAAAACGACTTTATAATTGGAAACGTTGATCTTTAAGGTATTTATCTACATCGTCGCCATTTTTTCAGCCGTGGATTCCCCTTTTTCACTCCCGCCTCAAGGATGACGGCACGAATTTCGCACCTGGCGGTGACGAGAATGTAGAGCTCCATTGCGCACGACTGTCAGGGCGGTCCTGAGCGTCACCAATTGGCGCTTCTTGTTGGGATCGGTGGGAAATTCATTTTTGAAACATCCCTCGTCATATCATTACATGTAGCTATTTTTCTAGAGCATTTGACAATGAAATGGAACAATCCGCAGACCAAGTCTGCTTTATATTGCATTCATTTGAGCTTGTCAGCTACTAAATAAGTCGTCGATTCACAAATAGGTTATGGTAAGTGCCGCTATACATTAAATATTCAAATATTACTTATAATGTTAGTAGTAAAAAAAGGTACAAGTACCTTGTTTGAGGTCTTCATTGATTCGCACATTATATCCCTATCCGCCACAGGGTATGAAAGTACTCGACCAATAATGGCTTACTTCTCAACCCAGTGAATACCGTAACGTCATAATGCCGGCATTTTTTGGGCACTACTGGCCCACGCCGACCAACAAAAATGACGTCATTATGACGGTAGGTATAATGTGACACCCAGTTTACATCATTATATGACGTCACAGTATGTCGAATAAAAGACCAAATACAATGTCGATATAAAGCTTGTATGACATGGATCTGACGTCTATGTGACGTTGATATGACGTACAGTCGCTCGCAAAAATAATCATGCGGTGTATTCAAATGCCTCTGAAAAATTGAGGATGTGACAACGACGCCCCTCAAGCAGCGAGTTCAGGAGTGGTAGAAAGGGACCGAAACTCATATTCTACTAACCTACCAATAAAGACCTAGAAAACACCGTTTGATCTCCGGTCCTCCTATGGTTCAGAATTTGTGTGTAGCAATTTATCAAAACCGCTTTGTTTTTTTCAAAGGAGGCCAAATAACTTATTTCTTGGGTGTTACCCAAACTTTATTGACTATATGTGGCAATATTATCGACCCTACTAATTGTACTACAATGCACCTTAAAGACGACGAAGCCATCGTGAGCCGGTAAAACCCATAGATTTATAAAGCAAAATGGCCGAACCATTGCCAAACGGCGAACACGCATGGAACTTGGACATCGGTCGAGCTCACCGCCAAGCGCAATCGTGCTTCTTCGTTGATGGTGGGCTGATTCACCATTCCAAAATTTGAATTTTGTCCGCGCTTAATTACAAATATTCTAATAAGACTTGTTTCTAATAAATTTCTTATTTCCGGGAATAAAACATGATGCAAAAGGGCAATTTGAAATATCTGAACACGGAATATTATTATTAGAAAAGTCATATTTTTGGTCGAAGAATTCCTGATACTTTTTTATAAATAACAATAAAGTAGTTATTAGTACTTGGATATCTAGTTTACCTTACTGTTCATTAAAAGTCTATATTTTCTTTGTAGGTAAGGCCCGTATCGTCAGTCGTCCCTACAATTGTAGGGCGCCTTTATGGCCTCCTTGATTATAATAGTTTTCTACTACTCCGTGTCAGAACTCTATTTTGAGGTTATGTCACAAATATCTATTTGCATCAAATTGTGCTTGCTTTTGAGTTATATCATGTTTTATCAGCCTGAAATTTTCTACAATTTAAAAAGAAAACATATCTTCACAATAGGAGAGCGCTGACGCTGACACGGGACAAGTGTAATCTAGAAATTTTTGAAGGAGATAAAGCAGTATGACAATCAAGGAGGCCATAAACGCGCCCTACAATTGTAGGGACGACTGACGATACGGGCCTAAGTGTTGATTTTTCAGTACTGACAGTCCTGAAAAATAAGTCAAAATGACAGCCTTTCAAAGGACGTTTTGTCGCCGTCATAAAAATGGCGTCAATAAAGACGTCATTTTTTAGTCAATGACGTTTCCGACCAAAAGTGGCTGAATAATGACGTCATTTTGGCGTCATCATGTTCAATGAGAACCTGGGTATGTAATGTACCATTATTGGTAGAGACAGAGATTTCTTAAAATATATTATTTATTAAATCAACTAATTTCTATGAGAGGTATTGTACGTACTCATCCTTCACCATTCCGCAATCTGTTGAGTCGTAGTGATATCTATTGAGAAGATGTTTTAGGGTATATCTGTTCGAGTCTCTTATCTGACCTGGTTCAATTTTTTCCCACGGCTCCTTTAATTCATTACCAGTAGATAAAATTCCAATTGTAGGTTTCCTAGAAGAAAACGGTAACTTATTTAAGAACATTTACAAGCTACCTTTGTCACTACTTATACATTAGTGTCCTACAGTATTTTACGTCATACTAGATTATAGTATACCCACAATGTGTGCAACCTCTCAAACACATTTAATTATAGAACACAAAAAGAGACAATTTAAGGCTAGCTTATACATTTGCAAAAGTTAAATCTTATGAACTTCATGGTCATCTTTTTTATGCTTATGAGAGGTTAGGATTATGATTAGCAGAAGTTGTATGAACTATTTCATAAGAAATAAGCATTTCCACTCTTATGTGTTATGACTATTAAAATGGCGACGTCACAGTAAAACGATTCATTGACACAGCCCCAAAAAATAAGTCGAGATCCGTGAGACTGACCAATATCATGATATCGCTACGTATTTTTTCCGACGCTGAATCCGAATCCGTGATCAGAAAAGTTTCTAGATGTCTAGAATTCACCCCTAGGATCAAAGACTACCGTTAGATGGGGGGAAAATTGAGTTTCGGATGCCATATGTTGTAAGATGATATTCCCATTTATTTTTCGACGCTGAATCCGAATTTGAGCCCAAAAAGATCTCTTCACCCTACAGTTCAACCCTAGGCCGAAAACCTAACCTTAGAATGGGTGACAATTGAGTCAGAATTTGTCGACGAAAAGATACCTACACATACTGTGACTGTAAATAAAGCGATGAGAATGAGTTTTTTTAATGTTTTAATTACAATTTTATATTATCACCCGCAAAATCACTTCCTTCTGAACCCACTCAGCGCTGGAGACGGTTCTATCACTTCTCAGTGCTCGAACTCCGATACTGGAATAGCCTTCAGCTGGTCGGTTATAGTCATTTCAATGTTTCCGACTGTTCCAAAATGAGATTGAGGCGATTTTCCAACTTCGAGAACAGAAAAAAGTCACAAGAACTCGAGTCAGGTGAACAAGGAGGCTGAGGAGAGTGTTTTTACTGGTCAAAGGCTCGTTTATAGTTAAAATCACGAAAGATGACTATTACGTCATACCATAAATTGTACTGAAGTAATCAATGGACGTAAGTCGATGATAAAATCACGATGTCAGGAACATAATGACAATAAATTTGTATTATGATCTTGCGAAGTTAGGTTATTTCACTGACAATTTTTATTTTCTTTTTATTTCATGGTTTTGAGTGATACCTTAATCATAATTTTAGTGGGGAGTTTTTGTTTCGAAAAAAAGAGGTATGAGGAGAATACAGTCAGGAACACCAAAGACCAAAGTATGATTCGAAAACAACCTAATCCGCTTTAACATAACCTAACTATCCATCTTTCAAAATTGATCGATCATGCATCGTGAAAGCATCGTCTATCTTTGTCGGATACATACAAATTAGCAATACAGTTTGTTTAGACCATAAAATTCTGTTTGTCTTCGTCTAACATATATCTGAAACTTGATTAAAAATATTCACAAATCGCTGTCGTTTGTCTTTACTACAGACTAAATTGATGACGTAATCGTCATGCAGCACCCAGTTGTTCTTGATCTAATTAATGGTGGCGTGAGTCAAATTTCACTCTTCCCCAATCATTCTGATTGTCAACCGACAATAGGAACGCGCAAGGTCCCGGATTCTGTTGATATTTTCATCGGTTCTGAAAATGCCTTAACCACCAAAAAACCTGGTCTCTTGACAAAACACTACCTCCGTAGGCCTGCTGAAGTTTAGCAAGAGTTTCCTTTGCGCTGTGCTCAAGCAAAACCTGATAGCATACCGATGCTTAAAATTGATGTCGCTCATTTTTAGAACACATCAGGACAAACTGTATCACAAACAAATCGCTAGGGATAACCAAGTGACTTGAGGGAGTTCAAACTTGTACTGAAGGCGGATCAACATGTTCCCCTGTCTCCCCTCCAAGCCCGGTCCTCCGATGTTGCCAGATCGAGCGCAAGGTTGTAAATCTCATCACTTAATTTACAGACCTCGTAGGAATACAATGGTTTCTCTCAAGGATCTCGAACTTTTTTGTGGGATAGTATAATTTCATTAAACCATAACTGTGGATAAATGTCCTTAAAAAATGAGCTGTTCGATCTGGCTGGGTTGCAACGTGCCAAAATCAGAAAATCAGGTAACCTTTTTTTTACTATTTTGATCACTTACCAGTAATTTGAAAGTCTCTTTATCAATGATAGAGTGCCACTTCCTAGGCCAAACCCATTGAGCTCGTAACTAACTATACCTGAAAGTATAATTTCACCCACGATATATCTCTTTCTTAGCGACTCACTATTATCTTTATTTCTTTTGGATACTAATGTTATAATATTTCACTAATGACTATCTCAAGAATTTCCTCATAAAATCCCGTTGGTCCCTCGTAAAGTTGGTTTTCTCGAATCCGCGCATAGGTAACCAGCGCCCTCCTACTTTTGACATTGATTAACAGTCGACTGACGGTCTGACATTTTTCCTGTTTTGGTTATGTGGGTGTGCGGGTCCTTCGTTTAGTTTCCAGATTTTGGGATATTGGGCTCCAATCACAAATTCATGGCACCTTTTTTTGTATCTACCTTACGTTTAGTTGCTTGTTTTGGTTTGTGTGCTACTCTTTCCATTTTTGTGAGATTTAACCTCTTCAGCGTTGGAAGGCATTGAGAAAAACCACCATCTGCACTCATCCAGCTTTGTAGCTCTCCTGTAGCTGATTTCCTGCCTGTTCACCTCAGGGTTTTTTTTAGAGAAAGGGGTGGTTTCTCATCGAAATCGGTGATCAAAAAAAGGTTACGTGATTTTGGCACGTGACAGCGTTGCATTGTGCTACAATTTTTTGGTTCTGTATAGCACAAAAGTGATTTTTTCTGTAAATCACTTTTCTTTAGCTGAACTTTATTTTAATTCACTGTGATGATAAGCGCTCGCTTATGCATGCGATTTATGTCGCGCGACAAGAAATCGCGCGTTCTAAAAGACCAATCATACGATTTTCCTCATCGTGGGACACTCAGTACCATCAATATCAATCATCAATACGACTCGTTCCAAGTAGGCATAATGATGAGGAGTTATAGATCTCCTGGTACACTCGTTTAATTCTACAGGGTCGGACAAGCTGAAAATATTATTTTTGGGAAATAGTTATAACATGAATGGATGCATACCTAAAAACTTTGACCTCCTTTTTTGCCAGTTGTGCCAACACGCCAACATGAGCTGGGCCCATGCGGTTAAACTGGCTAAGGACAATATAACCTTTTTCACAGTCGCTGCCAATATCTCTGAAAAGTAAAGAGATATTTTTCTGTAAGCCAATACATACACTAAAAAAAAAGAGTAATATAACATAAGTTAACAGTCGTAAAACAGAAGGATAAGGGTTTGAGATAGATGTTTCCTATAATAAAACTTGTACTGGAACTTATTCATTGTAATATTCCTACAATGGAGACGCTTAGTCGTTAAACATTATTACTACATTATCTAACTTCAATAGAGTAGCCAGCAAAATACGGCAATATTTTCAGTATGTCCCGGTTATATCGCTACAAATGACATATCCAACCTGTTTTCATGTATTGCTGTCAGCGTGCCGAATTATCGGAATCCTACATAATGTATAGTAATGTAAGCTACAGCAACGCGGACAATTTCATCAGTCATTCTTGCCTGATTTTGTTACCCCTATTATGATTCTGAAAAGTATGTGAGTCCACACATTGCAGACAATATTGCCAAGATATAGCCGGGATATAAGATATAAATATCCTAATTCATTGACTGGAAGGATGGCAATAATATTTGGTTACCATGATGACTTCTACAACAAACAAACAATTCGTTAAGAAGTAAAATGAAAGTTGTAAAATTGCAAAGCATGCCTTAGTGACAGCTTGGTGTATCGTACTTTTATTTTGAGAACTGACAACATACGATTTCTTGTATCTCGTAAATAGTGTGTAAGCGTTAACCAAGGAATTGTAAAGGTCAGGCAGGAAACTTTTGTGACTAGATTGTTAATTTTTCCAGGAAGGTTCACGAGGCTATACTTAAAAGTCAACAATGATTTTTGGCCTACCTGATATCTTGATTTGCTACTGGTGCTTTCAATATTTCAATAGAGATTTCCTCGGTTTCATCTTCATTCGCCTCGAGCAGTTTCGTGTCTTCAACTTGCACTACAGCATCTGCTCCAGGGGGCACTGGGGCGCCTGTTGAAATCCGTACCGCTTCTCCATCCTGAAGCTCTTCTACAATTGGCTGTGGAATACATTTTACTCAAAGGTGAGTTTAATAAGTTGATAGTCTCAAAGTAGTCGAATCTGTGCTAGCAACTTATTATTCCAATTTTGCATGTAATGTATGAAACGGATATCCATATATTCATATTATATTCACAAGATCACGCTGAATCGTTTGACTCTGAGAACCAAATGAGTCTGATGGCTTGATTTCAATGTGTACGAGGGAGAAATGTGTATAGACACATACGTTACAAAAACATAGCAGCTGGCTTAATAGCGAAACTCACCACAGCGTTGCTTAGCATATCAGTTCCTTGAATTAAGAGGCATGTTGAAAACATGCGTTTGTTTATTCTCTACGCCCAAATAATAATTTTATTTTGAGCGTACACATTTTTCAATTGTGAATTGTGTCGAATCTGCTTAGGATCGATTCTGGATCGGTTCTAATGTCGAAATGAAAGGTACACGCAGGCAGTGATAATGTGTATTGAGTAATGGTATTTGTTACATTTTCCAACCTCCCGCTGTCACAAAATATAACAATAACTCAGGATATGTTGATTTATCACCATTGGCGGAAATCAAAGATAATTCTAAAGTAAATTAAAACACTAACTCGCACCAACATTCCAATAAATAATTCTAATTAAAACAAAATAAATAATTTAAATGAATTAATTGTTCGAACAAACATTCTTGTATTGTAGAAGCCTGTGCGAACATTTTCTGGTATAACATATTGGCAACGCGGCAGATTGCATGACCTTCAGCGTCACCGTTGCTGGGCAGGTGACCTTCGCTCTTCGACCGGCTTCTATCTCTTTCTAACATGTGTTGATACACACTTCTCGCTCTTCTCTCTCGTACACATTGAGCTCACGCCATCACACTAATTTGGTTTCCCCTGCATGTTAAAAATAGACACTCTGCTTACATAAAAATTTTACATATTCTTAGGTTGATGCATAGTACGATGTTTAATAGAAATGTGATGTAGTTCGACATTTGCTTACAAAAAGATCTGACTAGAGCTCGCAAAATATTCTGAGTAACTTCTAGTATTCCAAAATCCTAACATAGCATGTCCGTTAAAACACACCTTCTTTTCCATCCCTCTGTAATTTTATTGATAAACCTGCTAAACAGAAATCTTACCGACTATGACTATGCTGATATAAGCATCAAAATACGTGAGCTTTGATTACTTATTATCATTCCTTAACAGTACGCCAAGCAACTGAAACCTTGCAGTCGGCTCTTGGACTAATACTTGCTTACAAACAAACACTGCCATCTATGCGCTATTCGAGGTGGTGTTGCCAAGTGCCATAAAATATTTATAAAACGCTACATTTACACTAAGCTGAAAGGAGTTCAGCTCTTTTGACGTTTTACATCGATCGATTTAGATCTTAGATCTATGAAATGAAGAATATATTTCACACCATGAATAAATGTCGAAAAAACAGTGAATTTGAACAAAAAATGCGTTCACTACATGAATTCCTCCAAAAGCGATTGCCTATCTGGCAACAACACATTTACTTCCGACTATAAGAAAAAAATAAGAACAGTCGCCTTATCTAACTGTCTTTTCATCATACTACTCTTTGCCTACACTATTATGAAGAGTTGCCAAATAGCAAGTAACAGCTGTCCATCTGTGGTCGGATGAACGAAAGCTATATTACTAGTTTGCTCAATGGCGAGTAGCCCATATCCACTAAAGGACCAGTGGAAACCGGCTGACAATGCAATCGGGCATACTGTTCAGGCAAATTGCTGTTTTCAGTTTCGCAGTTGTCGATTCTCCTTATAGCTGGCACTATGTCTTATTGGATGTGATAAAATGTTCTTCCCGAACCCTATATTAAATGTGACGTATAGCTGTTTTCTTGGGATGTGGAGTTTCTGGATAGCGATATAAAAATAATAATAATAATAATAAATGAATCGGCTTCCTTACTTTATCTCCTGCAACTGTTGCTTGTTTTATCTTCCTTCTCCCCGCGCCATCTGAAGATTTCACCGCATATCCATCTTTAATGGACGCTCTAAATGCCGGTACGGGTTCTGGCGTAACGACGTTTTCGGCCAGGATTCGATTAATGGCCTGCTCAAACGGCACGGCTTCAGTATCGTGCACAGGTGTGCAGTATTTGAAGATTGTCTGAGAGGCTTCCTTCACAGATACCATTGGATAGGGAGACATGCGGTTTCGAGCCGCGATTTTGCTAACTTTGACCTGCAATCAACGAAACATCCATATACACCGCGACCAAGATAAGGATCTTATGCATGGGGTTAAATAAGGAAAAAGCTGAGCTCTTTGGGTCGTTTTTACATGCCGTTGAGAAACTTTCATGGCTTTTCTGACTTTATTTTAAGACATATCAAAAAAGTAATGGAAATGCTATCAGATATAGGGTATACTTTTTTCGGACCATATTAAAAATAAGGTTGATGATGGTTTCTCAAAAACCAACCGTTTGGCACAAAATTTAAAAACACTATTATGTAGTGCCTAAAAAGTTCCAATGAAAAAAATCCATTAGTTTTTTGATATTTCTTAAAATAAAGTCAGAAAGACGTAAAAATATGATTTGGCCAGATTTTAGTTTTTCCTAAATATCTCATTAAGCCATAAAATTTTTACAAGCTACCGCATGTAAATTCGCCTCAAAAAAGCAACTTTTTCCTAACTCAGAGTATGCTGTATCTCAGACAGATATTAAGATCCCGATGCATAGGATCCTTATCTTGGACTCCTTGTACATATATGAAACAAAAATAGTTCAAATTTCAAACCTACTGCTAGTCCCGAAATCATCCTCGTACCCGCTTGTTTTTTTTTCAATAATTTTATTTAAAAGGGAACTTTCTTAATGGTTCTGCATATTCTCAGACCTAAAATTCACACATTTCAAACTTTGTTTTTTGATATTTTGAGATATTTGTGATTTATTATTGAAGATAGTGCAAAATATTCCACTTTGGACCTACAAAACAATACGAAAAAGCGAACATTTTTATATATAAGTTTATAAATATCCTGCAAACATCTATTAACAAGATCCTAAAGCATTTTAAATGGCATTGTTATTGTTTTTGTTTTGACTTTCCACGCCTACTGGGGGAGAAGTCTTGTAATAAGGAAAATTTTTGAAAATGACATATGATTTTTTTTGTAATTTGCTTTTAAAATTAAACAATGTTTGACGCAATTTTGGGCCTAGAAACATGCAGATTCATTGAAAGAGGTCGTTTTTGATTAAGACAACAAATCAAATCACGTTGTTTTCCGAGAGGAGAATCTTCAAAAGCATTCCGGTAATTAATTTGTGAGATAAACCGATAACATTTCAGTTACTCTTCTTTCATGATTTTAATATCTTAATCACACATCTTACACTTCCCTATCTGGGAAAGAGCTGACTTACCTTGCTTTGACTATCTTGTTTTTGAGAAACACTAGAACTCTGTTGGATAGCAATGTGCTCCCTAGCTACGTCTTCTTTTCGATCATTAATACAGTTAATGGCATGCGGAATAGCTTCTTTAATGAAATCCAAGCACTCTACAGCTCCTTTCGGACTACCTATTGGTAAATATCGTAAATAATAATTTTGAAAGACCCCAAGCAATTCATATGGAAAAGGCTTTTTGTTGAGGCATTTTGAAAATTCGCCATATTTTAATTATGATCAAAAGTCTTGATGGACCCACAGCTATCAGTTACGCAGCCCCGTTATTTAGGTTTCTGTCCGACTTTAGGTTTTCTCTTTTCGATAAGAATTTCGTGGGGTTCTTCATGATAAATCTACTTTATAATATTTGCAAGAAACATAATGCCACATATCGTCGGTCTCCGCATGTACAGGCGTCAATGACAAAAAGAAATTCTAAAATCGAGTTACGCCGTAATTTCACATATTTTTTTGTAGTCTCTCACCTCACAAAGTGACGTAACTGTAAATCAGTTCGCTGCTTGGAAATAAAATTTTTTAAAAATTGCGTAAGTAATAAAATTCCGAAAACAATTTTCACGTACCGGCTCAAATAGATTAACGCCCCTGCGTTAAAATTGGTTTTCTGTATTTGACTGATAATTATAGAGCCCGTACCGGCGCATGTGTCTCTAATAATATGTAAACATAACCTATAGATATTGTGCTATCGTGAATGTCCACTTAAACAACATTTTCAGGAACTACGGATGTTAGCGATAAAAGAGAGTGAACTAGGAAATAAAATAAAATGGACAGACAAATAATGGTAAAACAGGATGAACCTATGACACTATTTTTCATATACAGTCATCAAGACCACCATTATGATAGGTTAGTATTGAAACAGCGAATTAAGAGTGGCCTAAGTAACTTGCAGTTAAAACATTTGAATGAAGGACTTACTAAGATATTGAAGAAAACATATGAGGATCTTATATCCCATATCTATGCAAAGGAGAAACTCCAGTTATCCGTATTTCTCAGTTGCAACAATTTTATTCTCTGACACATGAAGACTATCAATCAATTCAACTTTTAAAAATAATTTAAAGCTTAAAGACTGTCATTATTTTCATAATGCAATTTTTGTTTTAGATTAAACTTCTATAGTATTTACTTTTTGTTTGTACTTATAATATTCTGTAGCGAATAACACAATTTTTATTTTTGAAACAGTATTTTCGGTACTTTGATACTCAAGTCCAGTTTTAAATTGTTGGCGTAACTACACAATAAAAGAAACAAGACTCGTCACGAACTGGCGTAAATGTACAAAAAATATTTTTTTAACTCATTTCACGTTGATAAAGTCATACTTTGAGTGGCTATACTTAAATACTTAAAAATATTTTCTTAGGTTCTTTTTTGTCCACTATTAATCCCATAACATAAGTCCAATTTAAGTTTTTACCTTCAGAGCTTGTGCGAACTGTCAAAATTCGTAATAGTTTTGACAAACTTTTAAAATGCAGAAATTCTGACCAGCCCATCGGAATGACTTTGTATGAATTTTTTCGTTCGGCTAATTCGATTATAGTGTAAAGTTGGGTGGGAATGAAAATATCACCAACTTGTGAAATAGCTGTACTTATTGTGCTATGCGCTGAATCTCCATCACTTTGTCCATGATTGGTCTCAAAAAAACGTAGAGATATGGTTTCGGTTCCCTTGATTTTCTGAACTGCATACAACAATGTATGTTGTATGTTGTATGCGGCCATGAGGCCGCCATAATCGAGTTCTTGTTCTGGCCAAAACATCCATCTGAATATAGAACTTCAGATTTTACACCTTTTGTTGGGTAATACTTGATGCTTTTGAACACACAACTAGATACTATGCATACGCCACTTTATGTGATTCGATACTGCACCAATAATTATTTCTCACAAACTATCGTAAATCAAGTTACGTCGTTTAGTGTGATTTAAAAACGAAATTTTGTTAGATACACCATTTATCTTCTTTGCTATTGCTCAAAGGTTTTTGCTCATACAATTGCGTCACTTTGTGGGGACTTGCAGCAGTTTAAAGTAAGTTTTGGGCCGGCGTAACTCAATTTTTGGATTTTTGTTTGTTTAGGCAGCAGCGGTGGCCGCAGTAGTAGACTCTTCGGTCTCCTGATCAGTCGCCGTGCGCTGTGCGGGTTCGAGTCCCGTTCCAGGAGAAAATTTTCTCTTGGCTATGGATGTTGTGATTGTCCGTAGGTGGTAGACGGTCTCTGACTGTCGAACGTGGAGGTACCACCCGGCGGATCTCGTAGGCGGAGCCAGAATGTGTGCATGTTGCATGCACACGTGTTCCCTCGCCAGAGTCCGTGTGGCGTCCCCCTTTCCCCTGTATCCCCCTATAGCCCCACGGTGCCCAATGGGTGTTTAGGCCTTAGGCCTTCGTGGTAGTTGGAGTATAAAAAAAAACGACACTATGTGTGGAAGGCGACGATATGTTCCAACATATTTTGTGTATGCCAATGACATATTTTTTAACTATAAGCGATTTAGATAATACCAATTTGTCTCAACCTCGTAATGTAGTATGTTATTTGTACTATTTTTACTTTACAAGAATTTAGAGAGAAAAAAAATCATATTAGTAATATACAAATCACGGTTTTAATATTTTAAAATGTACCTCTTACGTGTTTAAATATTTTAGAGTTATGTTGATATTCAAATTCAAATACAAAATATGTATTTCGTCATGAATAAACATCATAAACAAAGGAAATTCTACATATAGAGCAATGACGAAAAAGGACAGTCTCTCGATTATAAAACCGATACATTGGACCCTTTAATACAAAAAGTCCATGCGAGAAAGCATATATCCATTAGTCGGTACTACTCGATATAAATACAAGGTGAAAAAATCACTGCAAGTTCCATTTGCCTTTTGTAATATAACTGCAAGTTTGCTCACTATAATGTGACCATAAATTTTATATCGTAAAAAGTAAACACCAGTAAGAATTCCTTTAAGAACGAACTCAAACATTATTCATTGGAGAACTTTTTTTATACTCCGTCAGAGCTTTTGTAGATTTTCTGGGAAACTTAATTGATCACCTTTATCTTTTAGACTTTACTGTACTGACAAATAAAATAAATTGAACCGGATTGAAGTATAATACTCATCACAATTTTTTTATACTAACGGATTTGAAGGATAAGTCTATTTAGAAGGAAGACCTCAATGTGCCGAATCCTCTCTTAGAGCGAATGATCTCCTTTGACGATGTTAATTTGATGATATAGACATACCTGGCAAGTTAACTATCAGGGTTTTTGAAGCTATACCACAAACAGCACGCGAAAGCATAGCCATTTCGGTCTTAGCTAAGCTTCTGGTCAACATTGTATATGCTAATCCAGGTGCCTCCTTATCAATTACTTCCCTAGTAGCTTCTGGGGTGACGTCTCTTGGAGTAAATCCTGTACCTCCTTGAAATAAAAGATCATATTTACACTGTTTCTTTAGCCTAGCTTTACTTATCTGTGTACAGTGGCGAAGCGTCCATGTAAACATTGTTACCATTGGTAACAGTTAGAAAACTTAAAAATAAATATTTTATGACTAAGTACTGTGAAATAAGTTCATTTATTTGTTTACCAACAGCGATATGTAACAGTAATTCAGTAAATAGCAAATTAGCCCCACGAAAATAATTCGCCCTATACTGTCTAGGTTTTCCGAACACGATGAAGCTGACTCGCCTCGACTTGGTTGTCGGTTGTTACCATTTTCATTTATGGATACACTTGGTAGTCCGTCGGGGACCGTCGGTAGCGGCTCGTGTGTGATCGCGGTGCGCCCGAGTGCGTGGGGTGCTGCGACTATTATGTGGCCTTGTTACCATTTTTTGATCTGGTTACTCACTTCTCACTCGTTAGTAGCTGTTTTGGTTACTGTGAATTGTTAACGTTCATTGCCAAAAAAGATCAAATATTTTCCGAACATCTAGAAACGTTGACTGTTTTTTCGGACGGCTTGGATTAGTCATAGCATAAGACGATGAAGTATATCAAGTGCTCCAGACGCTCAGTCCAGGAATGTTTACCTTAATATAAAAATAGTTCAAATAAAATACCTAAAATAAGTAAAAACTTAAATTTGGGATGTTCAAAATAAACTTTTTTTTAATAAGATTTTTCACATCTGCTTTTGATAACAGTGTAGGAAGAGTCACGCGTCGCCACTGTCTGTGTAAAATCTAAAACTACATTTATCCTTAGGAACAAGCTTTTGGTTTTCAAATTTCTGAAATCTTTGTATAAACCTATTATGATGACTCTAAAAATAAAGCTGGGTAAAGAAAACATGTTGTGAACATGTACAGCAGAGGAATTAAGCGGATCAAGTCAGTCAAACAGGCCCATACAATGAGTCCATAGAAACAATTTCCCTTCCATATCAGAAGATACTGTCCATTTGGTAACGTTCTCTCTTTCTACATCTGCGCGGCAGCGTTCACCGCAGCACTGTTGCAGCGAGTTATTGTTCATATTGTTAATATATCTGGTGCGCTGCAATAGAGATAGTCAGCCGGACCGGTGTGACGGGGCTGAGCTTAGATAGCAGGAGTATGCGGATCGAAACGTTTCTCTATAATTATAAGTTTTAAAGGCAAGACTTGGCATATTAGTGGCATTGTCTGAAAATTTCATCCAAATTCGAGCAGTGGTTCCCAAGTTTCAGGCGGTCCAAGGATTAGCGGATAGACAACAGACGGAAATGAGTAGCATGATTTTTCGTGATACACATCTAAAAACCATAATATTTCGTTGTCGAAATTTTTTGCGATTACAATACTTCCTCGTCCAGTGAGGGCTGTAAGGGTTGGGGTGGCAGTATACCGGGTGTCTTAAATTGGGATCTCGGTAACGGTAAGAGATACGAAGTAGCTTAAATTGGGACAAATTTGCCTATTTAGGTAACTAATAAACGGCTGGTTGGAAAGTTTCCAAATTGAAAGTACTTTCGGACAGATACAGAAATAACAGAATTTTGCCATTTTTTTCCTGACTTTACCGCATATTTCCACTTTTTATCCTCTACAAGATGATGGTATAATTAGAATTTCGTTATGACGTTTCGTCTCGTGACCTCCAGCATAAACTTTATTATTTTTTTCTGATAGACGCCATATGGGACTTTTGCACAGATGAATAGATTTTTAAATTCTGATTTCAAAGATATATGTCAAACATGTGCATTGCCAAATCTGTTACTTAAAAAAAACAGAATTTCCTTGAAATTATCAGATAGTCATTTGTTTCGTATGCAAAATCGTTGTTTATTGCCTGGTTTTATTTGAAATGAGAGCTGTGAACTGCAACTACCGGTTGTAGTGTGCGTGCAATTAAACATGGATGAGTGTCGCTGCGTAATCGATCAACTACTTGAAAAGTAATTCTCCTTGTATAATTTTTAAGAAATAAAGGAGATCATTGAAGATGGAAGACCAACACCTATTTTAGATAATTTTAAAAAAGAATAAAAAAAGTAGTTTGATATTTTAAATTAAGTTGGTATATGGAAACTCTTGGTTATGTGGATGCAAAAAAAACAGATTGTATTGTTGGCAGTGTCTTCTGTTTTATACAGAAAAAAATGGGTGGACCAGCAGCGGAGTCAACGATTTAAATAGTTTTAGGGCTCTGAAGAGAAGACATGAAATTTCTCCGTTATGTGTAGCCAATTTAATTCAGTTTGGCAAAACAAGAATCGAAAGTTATCTTAACCCCACGGTACACAATGGGTGCTTAGGCCTTAGGCCTTCGTGGTAGTTGGAGTATAAAAAAAACAAGCTTTTAGGCAGCACACTTCTAGATACCGTATGTTTTTTGGCAAAACAGGAATTGCTGTTCATTTTGAAGGGGATGACTCTGACAATAGAGGAAATTACAGGGAATTGTTAACATTCATTGCCAAAAAGATCAAAAATTTTCCGAACATCTAGAAACGTCGACTGTTTTTTCGGACGGCTTGAATTAGTCATAGCATAAGACGATTAATTTAAAAATAGTGTAAATAAAATACCTAACATAAGCAAAAACTTATAGTTGCGAGGTTCAAAATGAACTTTTTTTAATAAGATTTTTCACATCTGGTTTTGGTAATAGTTTAAGAAAAGTCACGCGTCGCCACTAATTGCCACTCTTTCCCCTCTACAAGAAGGCGTAGATAAATTCTTAATTGCTATAAATCTCCATCACCAACTTTGTTTTTTTTTATGGACTTCATATTAAATTTTTACGCAATAAAGCACAATTTTTGGTTCTTCATTTAATTATGAATATAATACATTCATTTATGTCACGATTATCTTCACATATTTTAGTAAAGCAAATTCTTAGGAGTACTTAAACGTTAAAAATTCCAATATAGCGTCGAAAGTTGGTGATGGAAGTTGAAAGAAGAAACCTGGAATTGAACATTTAACTACGTCATCTTGTAGAGGAGAAAAAAGGGCAAAGATAACATGTAATTTATTTAAAAATCCCGTCTCAAATGAAGTCAGGAAAAACTAAAAATTATTTCATGGCCTACTCTGGAAATTCTGTTTTATCAGATAATCAAAACTCTATTCATCTGTCCTGAAATCCAATATCGCGTCCATAAGAAAAAATAAAGTTGATGCTAGAGGGCAAGAGACGAAATGCCAGATTGAAATTCTTATTATGCCATCTTGTAGATGAGAAAAAGTGGCAATGTTAATATGCAATTTACTTTGAAATTCCACAACAAATAAAATCAGGAAAAAAATAAAACGATTTTGGGAGAATTCGTTTTTTTTTCGCCACTGGAAGTACTTTGAATTTCGAAACTTTATAAGCAGCATTTTGTTAGTTACCTAAATACGCAAATTTGTCCCCATTTAAGCGACTTCGTATCGCTTATCGTTTCCAAGATCCAAATGGTGAGGGTCGAATTTGAAACACCCGATATTTATATGCTTCGAACCCCAGTAATTTTACGCATCTATCAATATGTATTTCACTCATCAAAGGTTTCCTGTGAATTTGCCCTTAAAAATTTGAGAAATATTCGCAGACGCGACACACCTTCGATCGGAATGACGCGACGGCGAGTCATACGCCAAACTTCGACCGCGTTTAACTGTATCGCCGGTAGGGATAATCGTAGGGGTCTAAGAATCGTGGCTAGCGCTTATCACGTTTGACTGGTGTGGTCCAGAAGCGTTGCCAGATGGCCAATACTTAGGGCAGGAAAGAAACTAGCGTTGCGCTATCAAATGGGTGGGGACTATGAACTAATTGTGTAAAGGTCTGTTTGACTGACTTGATCCAAGGGACTAACTTGGTATGAATAAGATCCTTTATGGATTGATGCCAGAGTTGCATACGAAGTATATGATTGCTCAACAGACATCTAATTACAGGCGCAATATAACGATAAATAAATTAAATAACATTATACATACATCTACAACAATAATAACATAAAACAAACGAACAAAAATTAGGTAGAGTAGTAATTACTTGAATTTGACAAAATATTAACACAGTCGGAGTTGATTTCGGAACTGTCTGTTATACAGGGTGTCCGCAAAGTTGGGGTTTTCCTTTACACGACGTGTAGATCTTGAAAACATAAGCAATTTTTCTTAGTACCATATACACCAATGTCTTAAGGGAACCGAGATAAGGGGCTCTGCAACATCAAAAATATCTGAATACCGTCCTGTAGCCGCGACCCGCGATATCTTAGACTGGTACCGGCTACTAGCTGAACCCGACGACAGAACTGGGTCGGGGGTCGGGGTCAGTGTGTCAGGTCAGTATGCAACCTTCAACCGACGGTAAAGGGTCACGCGTATAGAGGTAACGAACCCGTATAATCGATTGCGTTTAAAAAAAAAAAATAATAATAATGGCACACTCATACACCAATAATGAACTCGTTGATATGTTGTTAATTTATGGCGAATGTCTTCAAAATGATACAGAATCGTCGCGAGTGTATGCAGATCGTTTCCCTAGACGACATCATCCAAGGACTAGAGACGTGGCTAGAGACGTGCAAGTATCAAAAACTAAAGTGTGACAAACGTCCAACGTGTACAAGCCCTTCAACCTGACGATTTTCCGGCAAGAGTGCGGTTTTGTGAGTGGTTGTTGCATCAACATGACAATAATCCGGACTTTTTGAAGTGCATATTGGTGACAGACGAATCTACGTTCACGCGTAATGGGGTGAATAACTTTCGATTTCAGGCAGAGACGTACTTAGCCCTTCTCGTCAACTGGAGAGTGAGTACTTTTTCCTTTATTTTTTTTTACTTGGTCGCCCTCGTTTCACTACACATTACCTTTGTTATTTCAAGGGTAGTTGTTTCTGAAAAGGAAAACCCCAACTTTGCGGACACCCTGTAGAATTATATAATTAAAATTAATGCATAGTAAAGAATATAAGGGTGAATTCAATAATGTGTTGGTACGGAAAGTATTGCAGTAAAAAGTAAGAATCGTTCTCGACTAAAAACGAGGTATACAGAATTTAATCCCTGTAGAGGTTCTGGTGTATCCAACAAGTAAGGTGAGATTCGCACTCACGTAGACAAAGCAGTGGCGTACTATTAGCAGAATGGTAGATAAACCCTGAAACAGAAACCTATGACTTGATAACCATGACAATCTTTTACCTGTAGTTAGTACGAGATCCATGTTCTGCTCAGCATATTTTTTCAAATAGGTTTTTATTTGGGCTTTTTCATCTGGAACTGTAGACCTGGCTAAAACAGCGTGGGGGAACATTTTATGAAGAGCCTCAATCAATTTTTCTCCTGCCACATCTTGCGCTTCTCCAGAAGATCTTGAATCGCTTACTGAAATAAATGTAAATGCCTTATTGATAGTTCACTATACCGGGAGCATGGGACGACGCCCCTAGGGGGCCCTAACCTCGAAAACGTGTTTTTTTTTTTAATTACCGATGCTACGTTGTTATATCCTACATAACTGTGATTTTATAGATTTGTGAAACTTTAGTTGATCCAATTTTTGGTTAAGTAATGAGAGTTTTACAAACTTAAAAACTTACTGTATGTCAGTGCTTTCTTGCGTTCTTTTCATATCCATTGGAAAAATCATGACTTTTTGCCCTAAAAATCGCCAAAAATAGGAAAAACCGCATTTTCACCGATTTTCTCAAATTTTTACATTACAAACGTAGGCTATCATATGCTGGTTAGCTTGAGAACTCAACGAATACATGTTTGTTTTTGACGCTTCTTTCAGGTTCAAAAGCCAAAATTTTGATGTCTCCTAGAAAGTTTCGGAAAAAGGAGAAACCGCATTTTTACTGATTTTCCTCATTTTCTGACGTAACCCATTTCCATTTCCGTTGTTAAAATAATGATGTTTTGTCTGGAAAACCCCTAAAATCGAAAAAACACATTTCCAACTAGTTTTCCAATTTTAGACATTTTTAGAGGATACCATAACTTCGCTAACACAGAAACTGCATCCACGCATATGTTTATAGTAGGTTTTTGAGTCGTTTACTGACTCAAGATTTCAACAATTGAAGGAAAACAGCGAAAATACGGTTTTTCCTTTTTACCCAATTTAGCGGGCCACGAAGCACAAGTTTGACAATGGAACCTGGAAGAATGCTCAAAACGATATATGTATACATCGGGTTTTGAGATACAGTATTATACTGTAAAAGTGTAAAAAATCGAGGAAAACCGGTTAGAATGCGGTTTGTTCGCATTTTGGGGATTTTCCGGGCAAGAAATCATTATTTTGACAACAGAATTGAAAAGATCGTAAACTAAGGATTGATGCATTGAGTTTTTGAGAAAGCGAACTGATATCTTAAAAATGTATAAAATTGAAAAAGTCCGTAAAATGCGTCTTTCTAATTTTACAATATCCTACTTTTAAAATGTGAAAAATTGGAGAAAATCGGTTTTCGGATTTTGTTAGGGGAAATAGCGCAAGGAAGCACTGATATACAGTGGTTTTTCAATTCTCATTACCTAACCAAAAATCTTCAAAAATGTTTTTTCTTGAACTCATGAGTTCTACATATCTATAAAAAAACACGGTTATGTAGGAGGATATAACAGTGTGATATCGACATTTTTTTTATTCCTTGAGCAAAATTGTTAATGAAGTACTATATATTTATAAATCCTTTGTTTCACATTTCCGTCTAAGAACGGCAACAGCATTATCTACATTTAATGCCTTTACAACCTACCTACTAATACTCGAATGGACATATGCATTGTGGAAATCATGATGCTACGTTGAAATAAGCTTCTCCTTGGTATTTCTACAATCTGTAATGAAAAAATAAAAAAATATATTTGTCCTGTAATTTCAGTTTATGAATATATGTACATACTTCTAAGCACCCGATGTAACGCGTCCTTAGGTCCCCTCCCCCTTGATCGAGTCTACATCAGACACTATTGCTTTTTAGCATCAATTCTCTTTGATGAAAATAAATTACAGACCTTATAGAATGGCAAAGATGTAATGGATGAATATTAAATGAGTGTCTTGTGGGTAGTTGGCATTATAGTATTGAACGCCGAATGGACATGCACACTGCTTGTCTGTCATTGGACAAATACGATATCTTTCATTTATACATATTATATTTGATGCGGATGGAAGATACAGGCTTATATATACTGAGTGTAAAGTTGGTAGTGGATCAACGGAAGTCAGGTGATAGAGGGCTTCAAAAACTATCGAATGAATCCCGATATCTATGGTCCGAAATTTTATAGCTCATGAGATATTTGCAATTTTGTGAAATTTCGAGAAAAACTGGATAATGAACTTTCAATCGCAATTACAACTAAACCATTAAGTTTAGGGCTGTGATGAGCTAAGCGGTTAGTTTTAGCAATGGTTATGTCAGTTTTTAAAAGAGCTCATTAGAAATCAACGGAAAAATCTCAAATTCATTTAATACTTTATCAAGTATCGAATACTTTTACTTATTATTATAGTTTATAGTATATATTATATACTCAATCTATACTTTTTTATAGATTTACAAATACTGGTATGATGCCAATGGCTAGACACCGCCATTTGCATCATACTTTCTAATGTTATGCTGTGATGCTAATGACCAGGGATTCAGTAATCAAGTTCTACTTGCTACATGTATGTACATAAGTACGGTATGGTATGGTATGAACATTTAACGGAACTCAGTACCATGGCGCGATGTGCAGCGAACCACATAAGCGTTTAAGTGAGTATGCCGTGTTCTGGAGAATCTAACACTTCGGGCAGAAATGGCAGACAGGGCAGTACTGCTGAGCTTTTCTGCCTTACAGTCGAAAAGACAAAAGTCCTTCAACCATTGAAACAGTTAGCCAGTCCTATGTGAAAGTGAAATGACACAAGAAAGTATAAAGAGCTATAATGTATTTTCCAAAAAAATCTCTGCTCTGGGCACTCCGGTGCATTAGGGGGCAGCGACACATAAGAAAGAGTAGTCAAAGTGCAAGTACAAGTATGCTAATCTAGCAGAAAGGTGCTAACAAGTGTTATCGAGTTCCTCAAACGAATTGATACTATAGAGCCTAAACGTTTTAATTTTATATTATCCTTATCTTGACTCGATGAATCTGTGTGGAATCAAAAGAATGAACAACATATGTAGGTTTGTGTATGGTCTTCGAAAATAAAGTCATGTCTACACTAAGACCAAGGAGTTGAAATGGATCAACATTTTGAATGTAATCTTAAGGTATTTGTACATAATATATACTAAAAAGCCCATTTATCTCTATAGTAAATTGATAACTAGAGGAATCCTTCATTTTGGAGATCTGAGGCATAGTAATAACCTTACAATGCCTTTGTACTGCACCGCATTATTCCAAAGATGTTTTACATTCAATGCAGTGATGTTGTACAACTTAACCGACCCTGCCTGGAGGAGAAAAGGTGTTGTAACATTCAGGGAGCTGGTTAAAAATCAGGTCTTAGATCTGTTATGATTAGCTGATATGAGGGATGTCCTATAAGTTTTACATATGGAAATAAAACAACACGGTAGGTAGTTTTAAATGCCTTTATTGTTTTTCGAAGTATTCTCCATGAAGATTAATACACATCTGCATGCGCTCGAACCAATTTTCGAAGCACTTATTCCACTCGTTTGCTGGCAGATCCAAAACGGCACTTTTGAATGCGTCAACTGCTTCTTCTGGTGACTGGAACCTTGACCACGCAGTCTGTTTTTGATTTTCGGGAAAGTAAAGAAATCATTAGGACTTAGACCGGGACTATATGGAGGATGGTCCAATAATTCCACGTTTTCTTTCGTTAAATACTGCTTTGTTTTTTGGGCTGTGTGCGAGCTTGCATTATCTTGGTGGAGGATGATTCTTCTTTCGGGGTTGATTTTTCGAAACTTGGTGATGAATTTTTCTCTTTTGCTCATTAAGAGGAATTGTTGCAATATGACACAAATGTCGCGACCATCTTTTTCGAAACACTTCGAGAACGGATGACTTTTGTTGGCTTTTTCACCTTAGAACACCCAAACAGCCGACTGTCGTTTATTTTCTGTTTCTTAACAGTAAATCCACGATTCGTCACCACTAACAATGCTGTACACATTTTTTGAGTTTCCGGAATTGAAACAGTCAAGCGTTTTTTGACACCAATTAACCCTGGCTGCTTTCTGCTCTTCAGTCAACAGGTGGGGTATCCAACGAGAAACTAGTTTTCTTACTCCTAATTCTTCATGTAAAATTTTTTGAATTGAGGTCTTTGAGATCTTTAAGGGCGCCTCAATCTCGCGATATGTCACATGTCTTTCTTCAATGATGAGTTTGCCCATAGCATCGACGTTTTCCTGGGTGACTGCCGTTTTTGGTGCACCCACCCTGGGATCGTCGCTAAGACTCGCCCGTCCACGTTTACATTCTCCATACCAACGGGAAATTGTCGACTGATGTGGCGCTTCGTTGCCGAAAACAGACAGTAACTCTTGTTGCGATAATTGTCTCTGAAAGTTGTAATAAATTAGGGCGCGAAAATGTTCTCGGTTGAGTTCTATTTTTCTAATGACTTGGTGACACTTAAAACTTCACTGTAGTGAGAACACATTGTTGTGAAACTTCGAATTTAAGTTTACTAAAGAGTGAGGTTAAGATTCAGTACTGACGTTCGATCCGCGCGACCTACTATGTTTCTATATGCAAAACTTAAAAGACATCCCTCGTACATATGATCTTTTCTGGTTGATTTTTTTTGGTATTTTCATCCAATCATTCCCGCATCTGGTCTCTTTTTGGTAAACCAACAGAGGGTGTATCAGTTTAGTATGTTTTTTCTCTTTTTCATTAGTTCACCCAGTTGAACTTGAAATGGTTTATTTGCCTTTAGGTTTTTATGTATCTTATTTTGCATTGTATGTACATATTTCCTCACACAATAGTGTTGCCGGTAAGAGTAGCCAACTGCAGTAGCTAAACTTCGCCTTGTTTTTGTAACTCTAATGAAGATATTTTATTACTATTGTTAACTTAACTAGGTTCACTGAAAAGTAACTCTAAGTAAGTCTTCTTGCGTTGGCTACCTTGAATAGTTGTAGTAAGTTGGACAATAATAAACAAATAAAGGCAATTGTCTCAAGTTATTGATGCCTGTATGCAGTGTTTCTAAACAGTTATTCTTTATTACCTTTTAGTTAGACTATTACACAAAATGCAATCAACGGAGGCGTAGTTGCCATCTTAGCTTTTTACGATGATTACTTATAATTTTACGATGTATGGGCGTTGTGCTCATACTGTATGCTGTCTATACAGTACGAGTATTACAGTAAGAGTATTGTACAGTTGGAACATATTGTTGGATGTAAATACCAACAGTAGCTCAGTGCCGTCCCTTCAAATGGTTGGGTCAGTCTCAAATTTGATAGATTCAAGGACAAAATGGATAAAATGAAAACATCAGTGCCATCGCAAGATCAGAGGTGAATCAAAGACAGTTTCGTCACGCAGCGCCGACTATGAAAGTAGTAAATGTTGTACAATGTACTTGTACAATTAGGATACTGGTCACTGTTCAAACTCCTTTGCAACTATCCAGGAAACTCCTATTCCCATTCTTGTTCAAGATTGTGAATAGTTTTCTGTTTATCCTGAAACTTGAAGCCTCATCACCTGACATTTTAATTTTATATTCAAGTAAAAACAGGCGATCTTTACTTATTCTATACACAAAAACTAGTACAGGAAAAGTAGAGTGAGGGAAGGGAGTACATAATTATAGGTCGTCGTGTGCCAGACTGCCTGAGCGCCATATCGCCAGTCGTTCCTAAAATTGTAGGACGCCTTTACGACCTCCTTGATTTTCATAGTCTTTTCTCTCCTTCAGAAAGGCTCTGGTATTTGTAGAGTTGTACATTTCCGTGTCAGCGTCAGCGCTCTCCTATTGTGAGGCTATGTTTTCTTTTTGAATTGTAGGAAATTTCAGGCTGATATAACAGATGATATAAATCAAAAGCATGAACAATCTGATGCATATATATATATACAGGGTGACTTTGAAGTTGAGTCATTAATTTTCAGATAATGATTGTAGAAGGAAGATAAACCAAAATATGTGTGTAAAAATAAAAAAAAAACCTTGTTTAATAAATATCCTCCCGACAAGTATTTCAGTGCGGACCTGTATTTGATCGTGCGGTCTTGGAGCAGCATGCCCTCACCTGTGAGGTCTTAAGTCACCTGATTCACGAGCCCTTTGCACTACATTAACAAAGGCACGAGGGGTTGGTTGCATTGTATATATATATACAGGGTGACTTCGAAGTTGAGTCATTTATTTTAACAGTGAGTAGATCTGATCAAAAGAAATGTTTTTTTCCTTTACCATTTTTCTGGTAAAATTAAAGTAACAAAGTTATAGCCCTTTGGAAGTTTGAGTACCGCCCTGCCTATTATATGCTCGTGTTTGGCGACAACGGATATAATCCGCCTGACCGGTTCATCGCATCGGAAACAAAAAAGCGAAAGAATTTGAAACGTTTATCACGATGTTTTTCGTCAGTCGATAAATCCTGAGTGAATAGTAGTGTGTTGCGTGGCTCAAACGAAATCAAAAATGGCACATGTTTACGAAAATGCTGAACTTGTGGACATGATTCTTATTTACGGGGGGGCAGTCTTTACAAAATGCTCCCGGATGCATCACGGATTTATGCGAATCGGTTTCCCAATCGAGTGCAACCAACCCCTCGTGCCTTTGTCAATGTAGTGCAAAGGGCTCGTGAATCAGGTGACTTAAGACCTCACAGGTGAGGGCATGCTGCTCCAAGACCGCACGATCAAATACAGGTCCGCACTGAAATACTTGTCGGGAGGATACTTTATTAAACAAGGTAACATTTTTTTTTTATTTTTTTTTTATTTTTACACACATATTTTGGTTTATCTTCCTTCTACAATCATTATCTGAAAATTAATGACTCAACTTCAAAGTCACCCTGTATATATATAACCTCAAAATAGAGCGCTGACATGGAACAGTAGAAAGCTATGAAACTCAAGACCATAAAGGCGTGCTACAAGTTATTGTAGGAACAACTGACGATACTAAGTGTACGCCTATGTATTATTTGATTGGAGCATAAAACTACATATAATTCATTGTTTTAGCTTGGTTTCCGCTCTTGGGGACGTTTTCGGTATTTCGGTAAGGTCTCATTTCGATAGGAAGCAGGCGCTCAATCTCGCTCCAAGTAATGTATCATGTCAATAAAGACGATTATTAATATTAAATACCAAAAAATCGGTAGGTTCGACAACATTGGGTTAAGTTGACCTGATACGCCAGATATCTTTAAATCTGGGACTTCCTTCCCAGCGTATAATTTCATGTAATAATAAGCAAATTTTCTCAGCAACAATTACACCATGCTTTAAAATAACGGTGCTATTAAGTTTCAAAAAAAATTTGAATGCGTCAGCCCGGTCCAGCATTTAGCGTGAAAGCCACGACGTGCCACAGTATCCAAATTAGTTGATGTGCGGTATTTCCAAATTGATTTCCAAAAAAACGAAATTGGAACATTTCTCGATTTGATGCTCATTTAATAATAATAATAATAATAATAAAATGTCTTTATTAGTAACACAACAATAGGGCGAAGTTTAGCCAGTTGGCTACTCTTACACCCAATTCTATTATGCGACGAAACATGTAGGTATATACAATTCAAAGTCACATACATAGCAACCTAAAAATAAATACATCGATCTGGCTTTCAACTGAGTGCCCTAATATTAAAGGAAAAAAATACATTCAATTATTAAATCTGCGCTATATCGGTTTACCAAAAAGAAACCAATCAAGAACCAATACTGAACGGATGACAACACAAAAAAAAAATATAAAGATCATAACAACTAATCATGATATATCCAGCAGCTGATTTTCAACTAGCTTCCTGAATGTTACTACACTTTTGCTTCTCCAGGCAGGGTCGGTTGAGTTGTATAGTATAACCTCACAGCATTGAAAGTGAAACATTTTTGAAACAATGCGGTCTAGTGCAAAGGCACTGTCAGATTATTATTATGCCTCAGATCTCTAAGATTAATAATTCCTCTAATTTCCAATTTACTATGCAGGTAGATGGGCTCTTTAGTACACAATATCTTATGCACAAATACCTTAAGACTATATTCAAATTGTTGATCCATTTTCAGCCATTTCAACTCCTTGACCTCAGAGGAGACATGACTATATTTTGAAAGACAATACCCAAACCTACAGCAGTTGTTTTAGTCTTAATTTGATGTGGACTTCGATAGATGTCACACATGTTTGTCAAATCTTAAACTAGAGTCGAAGATGACACCAACATTTTTTTGCTTGTTCCACAATAGGAATGAGCTCGTTGTTGATGCTCAATGCAATCCTGTCCCTTACTCTATTATGCAAATGTTTAGGACAAAAAGGCATGCAAGTACTCTTATCCGGATTAATCTTCAACATGTGTCTCTAAAAAAATGTCTGCAAGATCACAACTTAGCTTATATGATACTTCATCCAGTTGACATAAGTCAAAATGAAAAGAACGCTGCGGATCATCTGCGTAAGTTTGTATAGCACCATGCTCACTACATGAATGTAAATCAAAAGTATGTATCAAATACAGTAAAGGACCTAAGACAGACTCCTGAGGGACACCTGAAAAAACGGCAACACAAGATGAGACACCTCTAACTGTCTTCACCTTTTGTTTACGATTAGTCAAGTAATTTTCAAAAAATTTAAGCGGAATGTCAAAAAGTCCAATATACTTTATTTTACGGTGAGTAATTTCAAAATTCTTCTCTTACTTCGCGAATTTATTCAGATCGTTTCCGTGGATGTCTCCGTCGTCAGCTGTATACGTTTATATTATGCAAAAGCCGTTGACACAGTAGAAAATCTAGACAGCTCTAAATGTTGGAAATTTATGACGGAGTCAACAAAGTTGTATTACTGAACTTATGACAGGACTGCATATTGAGTGATGCTTCAATTTCTTTTTCTGTTTTCGCTGCTGTGCTGGCTGACATTAGCATTTGAAACGTACCTAGTTGTTCATGACCAGGAAAGCCCCAACTTTTAGGATACCTATAAGCTACTCACGAAACTTTCAAACTGCGATCCGAGACCGCGCGTCTATAGTTAAAACCATCAGGCTGGTTTTAACAGAAATATGTTTGATACACGAAACACTCACTAATATTACAGCTATTATACTAACTTAAAAGAAATTTGACCCTGGGAATTCAATCACCTTATCGTACATCAACAAACCAAGCAAGAAGCTGGTATTATCAGAGTAGGTCACAGCCACTAACGTAACATTTGACTCCTATACAAATAAAAACGTAATTCCTGGGAAAATATTCCAAATCATACGTTTCATTGAGGTCAGTATTCAGGCATTGTTTCTTACTTATCCTCATATACACATTTATGTATATTTTGCATACGTTTTCATACAATTCTTCTACACTATTTTTATCCTATTTGTACCATTAGGATATTCGACATAGACAGACGCAAAAAGTTTGTTAGAAGAAATAATTTTTGCCAGATTCTGTTTTCTTCGTAACTTAGCGTGTGTTGAAAACAAACTACACAGAAATGAAAAATAATGTTTTGTTAAATTAACGACTTATCAACTCATTATCAGACTTATTTTGTCTTTGATGTGCGGGGAATTACCCGTAAGGAAATTCTTAATGTCTATTGTATCTGCATTTTAAAATGTTGAAAGATATTTAACAGCCTTGTTCCGAACATTAGTACTTACCATGAATATCACATCAGAAACAAAAAATTGAAAGTTATTCATATAAATTATATCACTTAGTTGTTAGTAGTTACTACAATTGTGTCATACTTTACAAAAAATTACCAGTAATAATACAAGAAATTAATGATTACATTTTATTTAAGAAACATGTGAAGAAAATGTTGTTGGAACATGCTTTAAATCTAAAATGATGATCTGAATGAGTATATGGAATACGCAAGTCTATGATCAAGAAATATAAATTCTATTTGTCGTTATATTTATATTTTTACATTGTATCTATATTATATCAATGTTTATTAATATTTTTATGTGATAAATTTTGTATAATTTATATTGGTATTCACTCCTTTTTGCTCCATATGTACACTATTACATCTAAGGGTCAATAAAGAGATAAAGTCATATCTCACAGAAGCCATAGTTCAGACTACAAGCGCATAGTTTCAATCGTTCCAGCAACGGATCTAGGAAATCTTTGACCCGCACGGCTATTATGTAAACAACCAAGAAAACATAAAAACACCGTCGAAATGTCATCTTGCAGACTAGGTCGCTGTTCGCTGACGTTCAAGCAACACGTACAGTTACAAAACGAATTCACAACAAGTGTACAACAGCTTGTGCCGAGTTAACGCATCTTGTAGAAAAACCTACCAAATGTCCAAAAAACCTACCAAATGTCCAAAAAACCTACCAAATGTCAAAAAAACCTACCACATGTCAAAAAAACCTACCACATGTCAAAAAACCAACCACATGTCAAAAAACCAACCACATGTCAAAAAACCAACCACATGTCAAAAAACCTACCACATGTCAAAAAACCTACGAAATGTTACTTGTAGTGTAGTGATACGTAATACCCGTGCCGATGTACACAGAGCGTGTTTTTGCCGCATTTCAAACATTCCATTTCAATATATTTGCCAGCCTTGTCAACGACAATCCGAGGCTGTATCACGTGTTATTATGTCTGTGCATTCTCACGAACCTTAAGTAGGTACTCAGGTGGCATTAATGTCTGTTCGTTGACATCCATTAACCCATATGATGAATTAATTTATTCCACCACAGATTATAACGCACGGATACTGACCTGCGTAGGTTCAACTGTGGCACCCTGCACTCGACTAGTTCACTCTCGCTGCCGCTATATTCCGTTCCACATTCGCAAATCGTCGCAACAGACACAGGGCAGGGACACAGCGAACATAGTCGTAAGCTGCAAAAGATATCTACTGCGCAGAGCGCGCTGCTGCTAGGTTGTCAGATTGTTACCCGGTATTGGAAGTGGGGAAAACATCAAGCATTCTCATATTTTGCAGGTTTTATCAACTGTTGTTGCACGTAGGTTCAGCTTCAGTTGGGGTGCGTTTACAAACCATCTGGTAATGTAATACCGTACATAGAAATGGAATGTTGATAGACAGATGAAATTTCACTCAGGAATACTGTGTAACTTTATTTTCAAAACGCCTAAATTATTAACGAGGCATGTAATGACAAAGTTTCTAACCAGGTTTTCTGCAACCATTTTTGTTATTATAAAAAACGCTATGGATGCGCCTGTAAATTTTGAGCTGTTCTTGATAACCAAAAACACTCTTATTAACAAGGTTTTGAGCACGGGATGATGCACGCTCCAGAAGGTATACTTTGTTTTATACTGAGTGACAAAAAAAGGTAAACACCTACGTATGTTTATCCGATTTTAATAATTTTTGGCATATATGTTCAAGTGTCCCTTACTAGTAAGATGATTAAGCTTTTAGCTTGATTCGTCAACTGACTGCAGAAGCTGGTTCAATAATGTCTTGAGGATCCAAGACTTCTTATACACTCATTGACACGCCTGGGCATCGAACTGGTGGTCGATATCCTGTTGGGGTATCTCACTCCATGCCGCTGCAACTTCATGAGTAAGAGCTGCTAAAGTCTGAGGAGGTGTTACAAACTCAAGAGCCTGCGACCTATCATGCCCCAGACATGTTCAGTTGGAGATAGATCAGGCAATCGTGGTGGCCACGGTAAACAGTTGATGCGATGTTAATCCATGAAGGCTGATGATGCTCTGGCAACATGGCATTGTCTTGCTGAAAAATCCGGTTTTGGATGGTGTTTAGGTATGGAATAAGATGAGGCTCCACTACTTCCTCACCATAGCGTCGGGCTGTTATATTGTTTCTGATGGAAATTCGTGGTGATCTGAATGCCTTTATCACCAAACAATACACGCAGCCACCACAAAAACTTAACAGAAAAACCTGACCAATATATTACAGAATGCATAAAACATGTACCTCAAACAATTATGAACGCCAAAATTGGTATCAATTTACGAACGCAGCCCTGTTTATCAGGATCCAGGAAAAAATGCCTGCTGAAGAATCATGTATTGCAATTGTGTTCATGGCTCTCGTGAAATGTCTTGCAATGGTTCATCTTTTGAGCTGACAGATCCACAGTTATCTTCTAAGGGAAGTCACCGCTCCACTCCCTGAATTACTTTATGAATGTCCGTGTCAGTAAATTTTTGGAAGTTGTTTCTACTCGTAACTCATGTAAAAAATTGAGTGAATCAATTAAAAAAAAACAACCTATAAGAAAGTGCTAGAAACATAAAAAATGAAGAAGGGAAGATGCTCAGAAATTGAAAGTTTTCCGTGAAGTCCTTTGATAAGTATTTTTGAACGGATACATTTTTTAAGATATTGTAAAATGAATGAAATCCATTGAGAAATCGCGTATATATATATTGAGAAATTGACGAGTTTTCCTCTTCGTCCCACAACGTTCCCCAGAGATCGGTTTTAGCTCCAATACTGCTCCTCTTACATATCAACGACCTCTTTTCCTGTACGATCAGCCTAATCTAGAGTTTGGCTGATGGCAGCACCCTCCATGTAGGAGTTCAGAGCGACAAGCCGACCTCCTCACTGACGAGAGACCTGGATGCAATCACTGATTGGGGACGCAACAACTTGTACTCTATAATGCTTCCAAAACTCTACCTAGACGAACAAAAATCGTCCTAGCGCTCAACCGCTTTCGATAGATGGTCGAGTTCTGCCAAAAAGTCGTTCATTTTGGCTGGTCGGAGTCTAGATCACCGAGGACTTGATCTGGTATGAACACATCTCATCAATAGTGGCAGCAGTTGGGAAAAAGCTAAGCTATTTCTTTAGGGCTAAGACGTACGAGGCTTGTTCAATTGAAACCTATCTTTGGTTAGGTTAGCCTTGCAAACAATTCTAATCACTTTACTGACGTTTTGCAATGTTAGTTGTGTTTTTAAACGTCACACTGATCAGTTCCTGTCACTTGTATTTGATTGCGATTTTAAGTATTGTGATCTAAAAATGGCGTTTATTGTCAACAATCCCTTCAAACATAATCAGCGTGCGGTCATTCAATTTTTGAGTGCTGAAGGTTTGCCACAATTGCAAATTCATATGCAGTGTATGGGAACGCATGTTTTGCGTATCCAACTGACAAGGAACTGTCGAAAATTTAAGAGTGGGAGAGAGGAGACGAATGATAAGCCACGATCAGGTGCTTTGGGTACTGCATCAACAGACAGGAATGTGGCATGTGTGGGAGGCATGCTGAGAGAAAACCGTCGAATTTCAGTCACAGCAATTTCAGAAAATGTTGGTGTGAGTATAGGATCTGTCCATAGTATCGTACACAAGTTGGGTTACAGCAAAGTTTGTGCGCAATGGGTTCCTCGTCTTTTGTCACAGGACCAAAAAAGCTTACAGATGGTCTTATCTTTCCTCATTCTCACGGAATACAAGGAAAACGGTAATGACTTTTTATCGTCAATTATTGCCTGCGACGAATTTTGGTGTCATTATTTTGAACCATCCAGTAAGCTGTTATTGATGCAAATGAAACACGCAAATTCTCCACCACCAAAAAAGTTTAAAGTTCAACCTTCTGTTGGCAAGTTCATGTTAACATTTTTTTCGCCCATGAAGGACCCTTTCTCATAGAGCTTGAAGGTCCTGGAGTCCATATAAACTCAAACCGGTATAGTGAAAATTTGAACAATCTCCATCAATCAGTAAGATGAAAACGTCCAGGTAAGCTCTCACGTAGTGTCATTTTTCTGCACAACAATGCTCGGCCTCAAGTTGCCACAGTAGTGAAAGAAAATCTATAACGGACGATATAGAGGATATTATAGCCATCCCGAGACTATTCCCGATTTATCGCCTTGCGATTTTCGCATCTTTGGGCCATTGAAAAAGGCGATAAAAGGTAAGTACTTTCAGTTAGGCGAAGAAGTACCAAATGCCGTGAAAGAATTCTTCAAGCAGCAGCCACAAGAATTCTTTAAGAAGTGTACATCGATTGATGAAACAATGCCTTGATTGTAGTGGTAATTGTTTGTAGATATATTTGCCAATCCTCACTCTATGCAAGACCCAGATAAGACCTAGCCTCAAGTATTGCTCACTCGTTTGGGGTACTGCCGCCACGACTACATTATTTATGATCAATGCTTTCTAGAGGAGGACTGTTCAACTGATCAGTGACTCTTCTCTAGTCTTGGGACCTTTTCGCACCGGCGGATCGTCGGTGCTATAGCTCTCTTCTACCGCTACACCCACGGGCTTTGCTCCTCAGACCTCTCCTTCATGATGCTGCCACTCGATGTGCCTACTAGATAGACCCGCCTCCCATTCTAACCGTGTCGAACTTCGCACAGAAATGGCCGATCCGACCGCTCCTTTGCCCCTAGGGTGTCGGGATTGAGGAACAATGTACACGAAAATACTTTTCCCAGTTTTACTAGCCTTAGGTAGTTCAAAATTGGATTAACAAAGTTTATTTGGGCTTCTACAATACTTGCGCGGCTGTAAAAAAATGTCAATTAAGAAGTACCTTAAACTTCTCATTTTGATGAGGCACTTTTCGAAACTGAGCCTAAAGATTTGCAGGTACTTTTGGGTGTGATTGACTTCTTCTACGACGCAATTCCATAGATACAAAAAGCACAAAATTGCGAAATTACACACTGCAGGAAATAAAGTTTGAACTGCTCCTCTAGTGTCGACAGTTTCTGAATCCTATCTAAAATCGTTCCATCGTGCTAGTTGCTATCCTCTGCTAATCAATCATGAGCATTTTTTGATCCATTTTTTGTCGTTCCCTAGAGGACTGGCACCCGGGGCGATCTGCCCCTACACAGACCCTTTCTACGGCACTGTTGCTACCCCAGCTTTTGAAAAATAATTGGTTATTAATATTCTTTCGCAGTGTACAAACAATTTTATGTCTTGTGGCGCCCCCTGAAAAAAATCTTAAGGTGCAAATCCACAATGAGACTTTTTTATGATATTTTTGTTTCTTGAATTTCATTGTGGAAACAGGCGTGGAATACGTGAGGTAGATCTCGTGAAACAATGTCTCATAAGAGTAGTTTAATCTCTTATGCAAATTTCAACGTTTGAACATGATATGCCGTGAATATCACATGAGACATTTATTTATATTGTGAGATGAAACCTGTGTTTACGGAAATGAGTGAATCAAGAGGAGAGAAAGGTTTAAAAAGGAAAAATTCTGGTTTCAATGAAACAGAGCCATGACAGTAGAGTTAATAGAGTTATATGAATCTTATCCCAATTTGTGGAACTGCTCGTCAGCTCGTCAGAGAGCTATAAAAATAACGACTAAGAAAATCAGCCATGGACAAAAACCGCTCAGCTGCTAGAATTGCGTATACAGTGAAAACCATATTCCACTGACGTCGTAATGTGTACGAGAGAGAAGCGAGCAATACGTGTGTTAGAAGGAGATACACGCACCAGGTTGCCTAACAGCCCGAGTGATGAGGCCTCGGACGCCATCGGTGCACTCTCTCTAACATATACATATATTGCAAGCGTCTCGCGCCTCTTTCTCGAACGCATAACGACGTCAGCCAAATCTGAACCTCACCGTATGTGAGTACACACAGTTCATTACCAAATTGTATGAATGTTTAGATAGGGGAAAAAAGTGCATATGACTTTTTATGGACCTGAGTATGACATTTGATATGGTCAGTCATTAAATTTTAAGTCTTAAGCTAGATAATTATGGATTACATAAAAAAATACACGATTGGGTCATGTCATACCTTGCTCTAAGGGAGCAGACTGTGGATGTTGATGGATGTTATTCTTTACGGCGTAATGTCGAGATCGGTGTACCTCAGGGCTCGATCCTAGGCCCATTACTTATTTTGCTGTTTATTAATGACTTGCCAGGAGTAGGTAGCATCACGGATGATTTGGTTATGTATGCTGACGATAACACGTACCTGTGTTTTGAAAGCAATATAAAGTCATGCATTGATAGACTACAATGCATAATAAATAAATTCACAAGCCATTTTTCTAGCAATCAATTGTCACTGAACGCAAAACAGACTGTCATCATGAATTTTACTCCTCGTTCCAGCGCAATAAATGAGAGCCAATTAGTCAAGGTTAATGGCAAGTTGTTGATTCACGTAGAAAATACAAAGTTTTTAGGAATTCATCTTGATGCAGCTCTTCAGTGGGAGCACCACATAAGCAAACTATGTGAAAGCTTGACCAGAGAAAGTTATAACTTCATATCATCATGCACAGTTTGCTTCTAGAGTAAAACATGGCATTATTTTTTGGGGTACATCAAGTCATGTGCAGAGGGTTCTTATATTACAGAAAAGGGCATTGAGAACAACAGCTGGTGTAGCACCGCGTACATCGTGCAAAGAACTTTTCATAAGTACATTATGGTGACAGTTCCAAGTATTATGATAACTATTAATGCACGTAAAATCAAATTTATGTAACTTTCCAGTCAATTCAGAATTTCATACGTATAACAGTCCCAATAATACTGCGATAGTCATCCCCGCACATCATTCGTCCAATTTTGAGTCCCAACTACCTCGGCTTAAAACTGTTCAATGCATTAGAAAATTATATCAAGAATACTAATGATCTGGGCATGTACAAAAAGACGCTGACTACCTACTTCCTGAATAAGCCTTTCTATTATGTGTTGTTTTTATATTGCAAACTATAGTTTGTCCAGCAAATACCAAAAATCAGAAGCGGACATTCAAAGAACCTTCCTGATCTTCCTGTTCTAGTTGTTCTAATACTGTTTCCATTATGTTGTTATTTCCCCTTTTTAATACAATCTCTCACCCAACATCTGTGAAGCATTCTGTTTACAGTACTGGGCTTAACAAAAAGATAATAATAACCGGCAGCCGCATTACTTTTATTCTTTTTATTGGCATCTTTAACACGCAATAATTTTATAAACTAAGCATGTGTGTTTGTATGCAGTGGCAAGTATACCATCATTTACTTTACAGCCAGAATCGTCAGCCCTCCAGCGTGATGATTAATAGTTCCAACTAATACCAGCTATGCGATGTCCGCATTTGTCGATTCTGATGTGATAGATGGCGCTTTGCGCTGTCTTATTTCAATAATTTTGAGATGTACATTTTTCTGTTTCTCACACGCTCTCTTGCGTAAGTACTGTGGAAACAGCTGAGCTCTTAGACAAACTGTCTCATTTGAGAGCAAAAATTGCAACTCGAGTGTTTCCGACAAAGACATAAGTGTCTTGAGATTTTAGTCTTCTTGTGGACATAGATTTTGTGCGCGTCCCAGTGTATTTATGCATTCACCTATTTTTTGTTATTCATAATTCTGGTGGATGAGCTTTCATAAGTAAATAAGTATTGAACACTTGGGGCATTGGACAGTGTAGCTCTAAGATAACTATTGACTACTTAGGTTATGCCAAAATCTGTGGGTCTACGATATATAATCAATGGCAATTAAATAAATTATGTAGTACTAAATTTAAAAGCCCATTGATTAATGTTTTCTGACCTTCCAGGAAGTCTTGACCGACTTGGCAGCGCCGCGCCGGCGACCGCGTGTTCCTGTGTTGACGTCCAAAATGTGTGTTAAAAACGCCGGCATAGGCGCCTTCCTCTTTCAGTATTGCGCGGGCCGTCGTATTGTTATGTGTAGTATGTTCGTGCCGCTACAATGTTCGCGCGGGAGAATTACGCTGTCTCCTCAACTTTATTGTATTTCGGGGTGTTGTTGTTGTGTTGCATACAGTGCCAGTGCAAAGTGTGTCTCACGATGGACGTACGAAACGTGCCCAGGAGCATGGAGAAACTCAGGAACTGCACGGAAATACAGGTGATTTACCCTTGTTTTCATTCAAAAAGCAAAGGATGCAGCTTTTCAATACTGTATAAAAACTAAGTCAAGTCACACCGACGAAAACGATCATCGAGTCGACCGTGTTAGGACTGAAAACCCAACTGATTATGTTCAAACTTCCAATGCATTGTCCATATGAAAAAACAAAGTACAGGCGAAAAAAAACTCGATTTGAAAATTTGACTAGAGAAGAAAAGTGCCAACAGGTACCAAAATGAATTTTAATTCAAAATTCCATTTTAAAATAAAGTTAGGAAAAAAATAATAATAAATAAAATAAATAATAAATAAATAAAATGATTTTGACATGAAGCTGATTAAACAAACAAATGACTATCTGATAATTTCAAGGCTTACCTAGGAATTGGTTTTTAGTAACTGTGGTTTGTCAATGTCATTGTATGACATATTATGCATTTTTGTAATCAGCAAATATCCAATATAGTCATTAAGAAAAAAAAAAGTTGATGCTGGAGAACAAGAGACCAAACGTCATGTTGAATTTCTTATTATACCATCTTATAGAGGAGAAAAAGTGTTAATGTGCAGATTATTTTGAAATCCTACTTCAAAGAAGGTCAGGAAAAATTTAAAACGACTTTAGCAAAATTCGTTTTTTCCGTCTCTCTTCGGAAGTACCTACTTTGCCTCCATTTAAGCGACTACGTATGTATGTATGTACCTCTTACCGCTTCCGGGATCCCAATTGTAAGGTTAGAATTTGGCACAACCGGTATGTACAAAATTTTCCCAACTAAAAATTGGTTGCAAATATAAAGAACGATTTTAAATATTTTAATCAATTTGATATTTGCTCATTTTAAAAAATCTTTTCCACACACCTCCCAATGTAATCTCAGTGCCATAATTTAAATTGAGAAGAGCTAATCTCTTAAGTGTATTTTGAAGAATTGTACTTCTGAGACAAGTTTTGGTTTTGCTTGATCGACCAACTAACATTGAGCAGTTATAAAAATATCATTTTGAAAAGCACAAATAATGTAAAAAATCTCTTTCAGTGATCTTTTGAGAGAGGGGACCTCATCCAAAGCCACCTTGTATCCGCCACTGTTTAACTACGCCCTTGGTCGATTAGAAACACGAAAAAGCCGTAGTAACAAAGATCGGAAATATTTTAATTGATGATTTGACTGTTTTGCTAATTAATGTCTGTCGCGTATGCGACGATTCTCAAAAATATATATATGCCATGCGACTTTGCAGCACATTTCTTGGCAGGTAAATCAAATTCAGTTCTGCCGTTGCTGAGATTACCCGCTGACCCATCTGCAGACATATACAGTAATGGACAAAATCATATCAGACAAATTAATATTGTGCTGTATTATTTTTTGACTTGTTTTATTGATACACCAACCTATAGGTATACATAATTCGTTATAGCATAATACTCACTTATGCATAAATAAATTCATTAGACTTCCTCTGAAGGACAAAAATATATAGACAAAACCAAACAATTATAGAAAAAAGAAGCAAAGTTCATTGAATTATAGAAAACCAAATGTTTGTGTTAATATTTTGTAGCATAACCATTATTATCAATCCGCCTGGCATCGTCTCGGCATAGATTGTAGAAGTTTCTTGATAAAAGATTCATCAATCTGTCTCCACTTTTGCTCTAAAGCTGCAAAAACTTCATCCTTGTTTAAATAATTTATATCGGGAGACTTTGAAGGCCATTTGAGAACTGGTATTTTTTCATCCAGAAAGAATTTCTTTACGAGAATTGAAGTGTGCTTCGGGTCATTATCTGGAAGATTGATCTTAAGGGATATAGGGTAATATAACATACTAAAGCATGTCTGTGTATACAAGCTTATTCATAATGCCATCTATTATATGTAAAGGTCCGATCCCAAACCCCGAAAAGCACCCCCAAACCATAACAGACCCGCCTCCATGTTTGACAGCGGGCAAAGTGTTCTTGGGGTTCAATCTTTGCCCACCAGGACGTCTAACGTAATGAACACCAGCTGATCCAAACATATTGAACTTGGATTCGTCACTGAAACATACGCTCTTCCAGTCACAGATGCTCCAATCAAGATGCAACCGTGCAAATTGTAATCCTTATAGTTTAGAAACACTGACAATTCCCTTTGTTTCGATTTCGGCTTTTATTTGTCTTGGGGCTTTACACGCATCCTTTGGACGAAATTACCTTTATTAATCTAACTGATCTAGCATTTAGTTTTCTAGGCCGACCACTTCTCTTAGAGGCTTCCAAGATACCTTTTTGTTTATATTTGTTCAATATTGCCCAAACTGCTTTGCGCTTCAGCTTCAAATTTTTGGCAATGTCGACTTGACGTTGACCATCTTTGTATAACTCAATGATCTTAGTTTTCACATCGAAAGAAATTTCTGGACCACGCGGATGGTCTTAAAATCACTGGACTTATTTCACAATCCTTGATGAACACAAACTAATCCTCTTCTGACACGAAACTGTAATAAACTAATGTTGAAAAGAATTTGTCTGACATATTCCTGTCCCTCATAAAAAAGTACTTATATTCAGACTTGTATTGTGTTTATGTAAAATGTGTTTAGGTAAATATTCTTATTTGTCTATATACTTTTGTCTATTACTGTATATCTACAAAAATATGTATTATTTACATACACCAAGATTTTCAACAATTAATATAGAGCAATGAGAATTAAAATTATATGGCAGTGTAATATTAAAAGACCCAACTTATAAACTATAAAAAACCTCGGTAAAGACAGGAATATGGAATAACAATCGAAATATAAGTGAAACGCTTATAAAACAGCAAAATTTTTTGAAGAAGTTTAGAAAAGTACGCGTGGATTAGTCGAAAAATTCGCTCGTCCTACAAGTTTTTCCAAATATGACGCCAGAAAGAATAATATCACAAAACATATCTCCAAATTGTAAGCCACTGAATGGGAATGAAAAAATAGCTTTTGGATCCCTGAAAACATCTTTGGAACTGAGCTCCCATTCACGTATTCATTTACAAAATTGAATAGTGTAAATTCACTAATTTAGTGCAATGTAAATATTACATCCCATAGTCAGCTTGATCCAGTATGGACTGGTGGAGCACCAGACAAGGTAGACAGTTTTTCATGCTTGTCAAAAAAAAAAACAACCGGACTTGAAATATTCAAATAACACCATTGGTTCCGAGATCATAAACTGAGCACAACATATCTTCAAGTTGAATGGGAATGAAAAAAGAACTTTTGGATCCCTGAGATGTTCAAAACATCATGAGAAATCTTGCAAAATCATCGCAAGCTGTATTTTTGTGAAAGCAGAATACAGTTGAGAACTGAGCTCTCATTTACATATTCATGTACAAAATTGAATAGTGTAAATTCACTCATTCAGTGCAATATAAGTATCATACCCCAGAAGAGTTTACTTGATCCAATATGAATCTATCGAGCACCAGACAAGGTAGACAGTTTTTTGATGCTTGTATGAGAGCTGTCAAAAAAACAAAAACCGGACATGAAATAATCAAATAACACCATTGGTGATGATATGATAAACTGAGCATAACATACATTGAAGATAACACTCTGACGACAGGCAAAGGTCACGCAGAGCCGGCTCAGGCGCGAAGCAAGTGAGGCAGGCGCCTTAGGGCTCAGTGCCATGGGTGGCACAACATTCTCTTTTTGTGTGGGGGAGGGCGCATATAATAAATAATAAACCTTATATATATGCGCGTGACTTTTCCTAAACTGTTACCAAAATCAGATGTGAAAAATCTTATTAAAAAAAGTTTATTTTGAACCTCCCAGATAATAATAAAATAAGTTTTTGCTTATCTTAGGTATTTTATTTAAACTATTTTTAAATTAAGGTGAACATTCCTGGACTGAGCGTCTGGGGCACTTGATATACCTCATCATCGTCTTATGCTATGACTAATCCAAGTCTTCCGAAAAAACAGTCGACGTTTCTAGATGTTCGGAAAATTTTTGATCTTTTTTGGCAATAAATGTTAACAATTCCCTGTAATTTCCTCTATTGTCAGAGTCATCCTCTTCAACATGAACGGTAATTCCTGTTTTGCCAAAAAACATACGGTATCTAGAAGTGTGCTGCCTAAAAGCTTGGTTAAGACAATTTTCGATTCTTTTTGCTAAACTAAATTAAATTGGCTACACATCTCACATGTAACGGAGAAATTTCATGTCTCCTCTTTAGAGCCCGAAAACTATTTAAATCGTTGACTCCGCTGCTGGTCCACCCATTTTTTTCTGTATAAAACAGAAGACATCGCCAACAATACAATCTGTTTTTTTGCAACCACATAACCAAGAGTTGCCATATACCAACTTAATTTAAAATATCAAACTACGTTTTTTTATTCCTTTTTAAAATTACCTAAAATAGGTGTTGGTCTTCCATTTTCAATGATATCTTTTTTTCTTAAAAATTATACAAGGAGAATGACTTTTCAAGTAGTTGATCGATTACGCAGCGACACTCATCCATGTTTAACTGCACGCACACTACAGCCGATAACCAAAACGGCTACGAACGAGTGAGAAGTGAGTAACCAAATCAAAAAATGGTAACAAGCCCACATAATAGTCGCAACACCCCACGCGACCGCGATCAGACACGAGCCGATACCGACGGTCCCCGACGGAATACCAAGTGTATCCATAAATGAAAATGGTAACCGACAACCAAGTCGAGGCGAGTCAGCTTCATCGTGTTCGCAAAACCTAGACACTATAGGGCGCATTATTTTCGTGGGGCTAATTTGCTATTTACTGAATTACTATTACATATCGCTGTTGGTAAACAAATAAATGAAATTATTTCACAGTACTTAGTAATACAATATTTATTTTTAAGATTTTTAACTGTTACCAATGGTAACAATGGTTACATGGACGCTTCGCATCTGGTATTATATATAATACCAGTGGTGAGGTCTAGCTGACAGCTACTCTAC